TCTGAGCCATCTGATTTTATTCTGCTTCTCCATGTCAATGAACCCTTGGACTTCATCAGTGTTTACAAGTTAGGAAAAGGCAATTCCTAAAGCAATTGTTTCAGGACAACAGGGATACTTCAGATGCTTTGCAGATTCTGATTTTACTTAGAGCTTTACAGACTCAGTTTTCATTGGTTAGATTATTTTTTCCCCACTTTATTTGAAATTTTCACAGTCACTGCTACACATCCTTTTCTGAACCCTATGAAAAACTCTGTTAAGTCCCTGTCTTCGCTCTCTCCAGACACTTGGGTGCAATTTTATAGCAAACTCAGAAGTACTATATAGTAAATAATGTAGGCTCTTATTTACAAGTTTTTATTATACAGAGCGAACAATCAAAATAGTCATTGACTTTAAATGATAAACTTTTATTCTGAATATACTGGTTTTGCACAATAATTAACACAACGGTTCTAGGATTATAAACTTTTTATATCATTATTGTACAAATTTTTACAAAAAATTATTTTTCCAGGCTTGTCAAGTTCCACAAAAGTGTCAAGAGAACACAAGAAAAGGGAGAAAGACCTGCTTGCCTTGTAAGAGCAACCAAGTCTTTTTCTGCAGAAACGCACACTGAGCATTTCAATAAAAATATCCCAGAAAGCATGATCCAGACATTCCATACAACACAAGAAGAGAAGACAGCTTTGTCAGATCACAATCGCAATTTCATGGCATCTGAACAAGACAGTATCCCTTTAGCCTCAGTGAAATATATCTTCAAGATGATGTTTTCCTTTTAAATCATAAACAGGACAGATGCAAGTAGCTGGGAAGAGGGTGAGGCTAACTTTTCAAAACTCTTGAACTGTTTTCAGACACTTTGTTTTAATATTTTACAATAGTGTACAATGAGTATTAACAATATTAACATTGTGGTATGAACAAAATAATAATAAATCTGGCCTTTTCTAAAGGCTTGAATGTCTGATGAAGACAGGGTAAAATTTATCCTAAGGAAGGAGTTATTAAGATTTCACCTTCAGTCGACATTCCAAAAACACCAGAGTGCATTGTAGTGCCTTGTAGGCACTAATATATTTCTTAATAACCAGTGTTCCAAATTTTAAGGTTCAATGGGACTGAGGTGGTGTTTTGGAATTCTTACTAAGCAAGTTTTCTGAGTTTATGTGTTAATGAGAACAAAAGGTCTTAACGTCTCTTCAGTGACACCAAAACACTCTCAACCACAGCAAGTAACACTTGGGTTGTGAAGGTCACTTAAAAGGGATACTGCCTGTTTAAAACCAGTAAGGCCAGTTTTTAAGTTAGTAAAAGGAATATTGTAGGAAAACTTACAAATGGCAGCAACATTGTTGTTTTTGTCAAGTTAAGCAGTAAAGCCTCAAGCATTAGAAACATGAAAAAGATCATACTAAAATCTTAAAGGTACAGGACCTAAAAATCTTGTCAATCAAACCTGCTATGTTATGTTAAAAACCTGTTACAAATATGGACCACGGTCAGTGTTTTGGCAGTAATGCTGGTTGTTTAAATGAAAAACTAAAAAGAAACCTTTCATGTTAAGTCCTCAGATCACGTTTTGCACAGCACCATGCTGTAACAACTTTAATGGTGGTTATTTGTCAGACATACAATACGCTGCATGACTTCTGTGTTAACCAAACCAATCCCAACAGTTCCCTTAATGCTATTTAAAGGATTTGAGCAAATATCAACAGAGCTTTTTATCTGGCTTACAATTTTTTACAATATGTTGTAATTTGAAAATATCTCAATTTAAAGCCTAAGATCAAGTTTCTTCTTTCAAAGACAAGAGAAGACAACTATGATGCATTATGTAAGGGTAAGGACACCCTTCTGCATGAGAATTTGTATTTATTTATGTGAGTTATTTCTGTCGACTGGTGTTCACATTTTGTGATAGCCAAAATTCACATTGCATTTTCCATCTGTGTTTTGAAATTTGCAGATATCAGGGTAGTGTATTTTAAAAAAATCTTGACCATCACTTGGATATAAATATAAAATTTTAAAGTATTTAAAATAATATTTTTTAAAGTATTGAGTTTTATGGGGACAGAGAGCCAGATCCTGAATTTTTAATTAGATGGGTATTGTGACTGGAAGGCTAAGTGTTTATAAGAAACATTATTCTCCAGGTCATATAGAGGGGCAGAGGAGAGGAACAAAGGACATTTTCCTCTTCTGATCACCCAAGAGGGCTATGTGTCTGCATGGCAGGAGCTTCTCTCTCCTTTTGCATTTGAGTAATTTAAGGGAAGTGGATTGAGAGCAAGACCCACAGACGTTTTCTGTGGCACCATGACTTTGTGCCTTCTCTTTTTATGCCTACAGATTTTAATAAAAAGTTTAATAAGTAACTGCAAATACGCCCTGCCAGCACAACCCTTGCCAGTGTTAAATAGTGTAACTTGTCCATGAAGGGTTTCTTTTGGGAAGCTAAATGAAAACTATAGAGAACTTAATATACCAACAATCTTTCAAGAATTAAAAAGAGCAAAATGCAAACGAATGTGTCTTTTAACTAACCTTAGAGTAAAAGCTATGAATGCAGTAAGTATTGGCCTATTCCTACAAAACTTGTTCTTCCCATAAAATGTGAATTGATCACGTCAAGGAAAAATACAGGATGCAGTCTTGGCATTAAAACCACTTAAACCAATTTTTGTATCAGGTGGTAACTGGTGACAGGGTGAAGAGAAGTACAGCAATATGACTGAAAGAAGAGCTTCAAGTTTATCTTCACCCATACTATCAACATTAGCTCACCTTCCCTGAGGAGGACCTGAAGTCATCCATGACATTATTAGAGACATTTTTTTTAAAAAGCTAAATTTGATCACTGAATAAAAGGTCAGGATTTATTTTTCCTCACTCACTGTGTTCCCAAACATGAGAAAATACATAGCTGGAGCCAAGGTACATGAGAAACAATGAACCAGCCATGAGTACAAGTACAGTAGATGTCTGATCTTTCAAGCCATGCCATGGCTTTGAGGAGTTTCTTCAGTTTTCATAGGATATTAATGCATGACCAATCATTTTTTTAAGCTTTTGGCATGATCAAAATTATATCAATCAATTGTCAGAATATACATACCAATGTTTTGCATTCTATAATTTTTTTAAAGAGCTAGTGTATTGTGCCATGTTAATATTTGCATATTGCAGTTGTTAGCAGAACTGTACAATACCAGCAGAGTTGCACATTCATTGGTTTAGCTGTCTTGCAATACTGTTTAGTTTTGAAAACTTAGAAAAAAAAAGCGCAAATCATATTTTGCATCAACACTATGCTACACTGTAATATTGTAATTTACTGCACCAACCTGTACCACCAATGAGGTTGTATAAAAACAATTTCTAAAGTTATTATTCACAATCAAGTATCAATGTGCATACATATAGATTCAAGGCTCCCCTTTTGTTTATATTTTTTCTAATCACAGCAACCAGGACATTTTGCTGTTGAATATGCTATTTTCAATAATAAATAGCAACAGCAGAAGTTTTAATATTAGGGGTGGTTATATATGAAGGAAACAAAGGGGGAACTTGATATGAACTTTAGAGAACATATATTTCCAAAAATAAATGCATTAAATCTCATTTTTATATACTTAAAATATCTGTACACAGATTTTCATGTGAGATCACTATTCTGTAAAAAATCCAACTCAACCCTTTTGTTACAATAGCTATATTTACCCTATTTTCTCAGCTTTTTCATTGCACAGTATATTCAGAGCTCTGTTTCATAATATAATTTAATATGATTTGATTGCAACACATTGCAATGTTCAGTTTCTCACACAATAAAAGAATCACTCAGTTACCTTTTCAATGAACTATACTCTACCATCAAAGAAAACAAACTGAAAACAATAACATAGCATCATCATCATGCAAAATACCCTTGGAAACCAACGTTCAAATATCACAAAGACATTTTTTATTCACAAGCATTTTTGTTTCAGCCTTTGAATGATTCTACTAGCTTTATATGTAACTGCATTGTAAAAAGGAGGTGAATGTTACGTTGAAATTAACATTTTTTCTGACAGAAGATGACACCAAGCTTAAGACGAAGATAACTTTTTAGTTAAACTCTCCAGCACCTTTGTATTTTGAAACACAGTAGTTTTCTCCTTTTCTTCCTTTCTTCTTGCTTTCTTCTTCCTTCCCTTCTTTCCTTCCTACATACAATTTATCAACCTACCAAAACTTAGCTGGCTGCATGATTCATTTCGGAAGAACAAACCACTCATCATGAAACATTTCAATCATGCTGAACTTCTAATGAAAATTGGCCAATATTTTCATTTTACTCAACTAGTTTGGACAAAACTGATGTTCAAAGCAGCCATCATGGTGCTAGTAACATATACTGGGGACAATATTTTTTTTTTCTTTTTATTTTTTTTTTCTGTTTTTAAATAACTGTTCATGTAAAAGAATATAAATCTTCAAGATATCCAAAGCTTAAAAGAAATGAAAATCATAAACGTAAGCCATTGTTAGGGGAGCCCTTTTACATGAAGTCATCAAGATTACAACAACAAACAAACAAACAGAAAAGAATTTAGATTTCCCCAATGGAGCACATACAGAAGTCTGCTCGGATGGCATAGATGATGCAGCATTCACACACGTTTAAGGATCCGACACTCCAACATGCAGCCACCGTGGGCGCCTTTATGAATCTCACAACGACTGATCACCAGACACGAGCGCTGCTGTTCTGCTGCTGTCTGAATAGCTGACCCCTTCTAAAATGAAACTGAGGCTATCGTTTTGGCCGGGTCTTGATTAAGTTATGCAGCTTTTGGTTTAGCAAGGTCATAACTGGCAGTGTCTGCTGCCAGATAACAGCCAAAGCAGGACCAGCTGAATTCCTACCATGGACCACAGTGATGGACTCAGACCAGAGGCACCACCACAGTCAGCCGAATCTTCCTGTCGACAAGAAAAGAAGAAATCATTTAACACTAATTACAATGAATTTTCCTAAGAAGTAATCTACAGTTTAGTTTGCAACATTTTGAACTATCATTGAGGCATCCTTTTTGGTCTTATATACGTTATTTTGCTGACACAACAGCAAAATAATTCCTGAAAGTTTGTCTGATTTTTGATACAAAGGGTGGTACTATTATTTTAACCATTAGCATGGGAGAATCAAATACTTTCAAGGTTTACTACAGTCACTTATGAACTAGGTGGGATACTTACACCATCAAACAAGAAATGCTATGGGATATATCCGGGGGCCCCAGAAAACCCCATTTGTATTCCTTAAAATTACATCAATTGTAAGACTCTGAGTATCACTTTATTGTGAGGAAAGACAGAATAACAGATAACTTTTCAAGATTAGAAAACAAATACCAAAATATGTTTATGTCCATTTCATCAAATCTAATGCTGGCACATTAAAATGAATATGGTCTGCAGGTGAAGGTATGATCAAAGAAAATGAAAATTCTTTCTTTGTTTCTGATGCTCTATTCAAGTAGGAGAACCAAATTTCCTAGTATGTTTTCTTACATGTTTGATGCAGTTCAGTAGAGAAGACATGCTCCCCTTTGAGGGCTCACTCTGAGTTGCACTGCTCTCTCATGCATCAGTGGACCCTACTATTCCTTATGCCACACAGCAATCACACACCTCTTTTCCTCATTCCTTTCTACCATTCATTGCTGTTCTTTGGTTCCACTTTGCCTATAATGCATAATACTTTTCACATTATGGACTTATTCATTAGTCCAGCTGAAATATATTTGATACCTGTTCTGGAGCCTGTACCATCCTACACCTTGTTTCTCAGGACTGATACAAACTGTGGTTAGTGCCTAAAACACCAGGACAGTGTTCCAGCCATCCCTCCATTTCTTTGTCTGCTGAGTCCAGGATTCATGGGTAGCTCTGAAGGCTAAAAATACTTGGTCTTTCTCTTGTTTTCACTGTATTCTGTACCATAGTATAAAAAGACGATTTCCATTTCCCAAGAGATCCCAAGCCTCCAAGGACAAGAAAACAGTGTAGATGGGAAGGGACTTAGGTATATTAGCAATTAGGGAAACTTCTTTAACAGGAGTAACATGTTCAGGGAAGGACAGACAACTGCATCTGAACAGTAACAGAGCCTGGCTTCTGGCACAGAAATAAAAATTATTTTAGAACAAAAATCAGAGGAAAACCAGCCAGCAGGAAACAGCTCCTGGTTCAGACTGATATGTAATGAATACTCAATGTACCTCAGAAAAGGCTGGGGGCAGGAGAGTGGGTCAGTGTGGAGCTAAAAAGAACACAAGCAGGATAAATAAGGAAGGGTCATTAAACCATCTTTAATTGATTGGCACATCCTTAATCAAAACCTTCCAGTGCTAGGAACATAAAATCAAGATGGGGGAATGACAATCACTCATCAGTGAACCATCCCAAAATAATACACATATCAGAAACCTGGTGGAAGGCAGTTATCAGTAGCACAGAACACTGTCAGGCTACCAGCTTTATAAGAATGGCAGTATAGGACATGCAGCAGAAGGGTGCCACGTAAAGGATAATACAAAATGCAACAACATAAAAATCTTACAGGAAAAGGGAAGTGTGATGGAATCTCTGTAGGTAAGAAATTTCAGAGTCTGATAATAAAAAAAGTAATACTAGAATTGCACTGCTGACCACCCAATCAGAGGGACAATATCAATGTTATATGAGATTGGAGAAGGTACATAAAGATTGGATCGACACCTTATCAAAGAGAGGTGTAGAGACCGCATTTTCAGATATGACAAATGGCTTTTGGGACAAACAGTCTTTAAACCTTTAGGGGTGCACAGGGCCCTGTTCAAAATTATTAGTGGAGTTGCTCTGTATAGCCCTAGTAGCTCTGTAGACCATGATGCAATAGGATTTAGCATTTTTGTGTGAAAGATCAGGTCAAACAAATCCAAAATAGGAGATACCAACTTAAAGAAAGGCAACCACCTGAAAATTACCAAAAGCAGTTAAAAAAACCCCAAACAAACCCAAACAACCTCAAAACCAAGAAAACAGAAAAAACCTTAACAAACAAACGAAAACAGAAAGCAAGGAAAAAGCCAAACAGACCTAGAAGTATCATCTCAAAAAGCAAGTTCCTTACAAGGGTCCAGAAGCATATTTAGAAATATTGCATTAGATAACCAGGTAAAATTAATGCCGCAATTAGAAAAATCAACCACACATAAAAGTGCAATCCCAAAACAAATGAAAACACACCACCACCACCCTCTACCAAAAAAACACCCAACACATAACCAAATCGAAAACCCAAAGAAACACCCCTGCATGAATCAGTAGGGAACTTAAGTACACTGTCATAGAGAAAAGGTCAGTATTTAAGAAATCAAGTTTACCCAACAGGAACAGCAAAGTACATAAAAATGACAGATTAAATATAAACAGGAAAATTAGAAGGGCTGATAAATAATTTTTTATGACTTTGTTGCAGAATATGCTGAAAATTATAGTAGAAATTTTTTACTAAAACAAAAGCACGAAGCAAATATGAGGTTAGAGCAACTGCTTCATAACAGAGGTGTAAAGAGGGAATCTGGGCATTATAGGGCACAGCGAAGAACTTCAATGAGTTCTTTGTGTCAGTTTTAATTGGTGAAAATTTTAATGGTATTCCCTCTACATACAGTGCATTCTTCAAAGCAAGGAGGTCAGAGAAATCAGAATCAGTTGGGGAAAAATATATGGAAAATCAGATAAAGCAGACAAATTATACTCAATACCTTATCAGGAATTATAATATTCACCAAGAGTCTCCTTTAGAAACTTGGATGTAAAATAAAACCCAAAAAACCAAACAAGACCCAAAAATTCCTTAGAAAGAAACAAAAACTCATTCTGTCCTAAAGCCAATAGCTCATGTTAGCTGCCATTCTTTATCAACAGTAGCCATTTCCAGATATGTCTCTGTCATGTGATAGCTTTATAATTTAGTTCTATAGTTTTTGTTTAGATTTTTGTGTGGTTTTATTTTTGCTTTTGGGGTTTTTTTGTTTTTTTTTTTTTTTTCTGGTTGATTGCACTCTACAAGTTCAAAATTCCTGAGGTTTCTTGTCAATAAGGAAGCCTTAAGTGAACTCTTCTGCACAGATTTGGAGTAGGATGCTAAGATTTCAAGATGCATTGAACTTTCTGGTTTATTTAGTTTGGCTCTGTTACTATTTGCATCTGCATTATGTCTTGTCATGTAGCTTTATTTCTATTCAAAACACCTAAAAATAATCCTGTTGCATCTTCCTCACAGTGGTTACCATTAAAAAACAGAATTATTGGTAAAGGTTTCCTCTCACATGAATTCAATGAACAGCACTCAGTGTTACCTTTTGGTATTTAGGATTTCTTATCATTGAAATTTCTTAGAGAAGTCTTCTTTGAAGCAATAGTCAAAAGTAAAGCAGGAGATTTAAAAATTTTCAAAAGAGGGGAGATGTCTGGAGAGTAAATAAGAAGTAAATTGAAGGTCTTAAACAAAACTGTGCATAACATGAAGGGGAAAACATCTTTACAGTGAAAATGGCATCCAGTATGGATACAGAGTAGATAGGCCTCCACATACTGAATTATACAGTATTTATCTTACATGTCACCTCTGTATTAGACTAAATATTGGGTACATTACATTGATAAATTAATCCTACCACTATATGCATTTGAAAAAAACCCCAAAACATCTCCATTCTGTGGTCTATTTCTATTTGCTCTTTGAGATTTTGTTTTAACTACATTGCAATTTATGGTCACTGCTCTTACGTTCAACAGTCATACAATGTTCCTATTGGATTGAAATTTTGCTTCTCTCTAGGACTACACAGAGCATTTTTTAAGGGATTCACTATTAACAATAATAGAGAATGTCTTGAAAGCCTCATGAAGGAGAGGCTTCTTCTTATTATGAATGACAGTATTAAACTGTAACACTGTATCCAAGGTTTATACATATATTTCAAGGTCAGGGAGATTTTAACCTCATATTGATCAAAGCCACATTGAATTTCTGCAGTTTGTAGACCAATTTGCAGTGGTAAACCAGCAGTTCTGTCAAGAACAATTTCTAAATATTGCCTCTGGAATCAGTTATTCTTTTGTGCCATAAGCCAAGACAAAAATAGTAGTGGCAAAGAAGGTACAGTAAATCCTACCTAAATTAATTTTTTTCTCCCTAGCATTGAACATTGTAATTTCCTTGTGTACTTTTACTGTTTTGAAAACTAGAGGAAATGAAAAAAACAAAACAAAACAGTATAAGAAAAGAGGAGAAAGTCTGATTATATGGCAATTTACATGAATTAAAGAAATCAAGAGTTTCAGGGAAATTACTGAGATTCCATCATTAATTTAAAACCAGACTGAGAAAAAACATCAGTTCTGAATGGTCTTCAAAATGCCTTTTTTGAAAACACTTCCCCTATTCTTGAGCTTTAAGAAAACTTCTCAACTATTACATGTGTATGTTATTTTCGAGATTTCTTCTAAAGTATCTTATAACAAAGGTATATAGCATTATTTTATCCTATCTTTACATTATCTTTACCTCTGCTAGTGCAATTAGACACTGAACTATTTTTAAGCACTTCCACTGAAATTTTCCAGCCCATTACGTAAATCATACAAAAATCCTGAATAATAGATCAGTTCGGGATGTGTTTCCTGTGTTGTCCTCAAAATAATATTCTGTATATTATTTCTCTTTGAAAAGAGAAAGAATTGTAAAACAAATTGCAAAGAATCATCTTTAGCCACTTTCATTTCATCAGAAATGTATAAGAAATTTCTTGCATTAATAAATCACATGTCAAATTTCCTGGCATGCTTGAGGTAGAGAAGTGTCAAATCTAAGTGTCATCTCCTTCTTGTCATACTTTACCATGATAACTCTAGATGGGATTATTTTACATCACACACTGTGAAAATTATTCAGCACTTTCAGAATGGAAATGAATGCTTTTACAAAACCATATATTCATTGTTAAGTATCAAGCCCACATATTCATTGTTATATATGAACATTTCCTTGAAGATAGTGCCAGTCCAAAATTTTAAAAATACACATGGAACTAAAAATACATATATACATACATGTTAAGCTGATATACTTCTTAGTCCTTTAGAAGTGCATTAGAACTATGTAATGTACTAAAATTTTGCCTGTAAACCATAACAATTCATCAGAACCTTTTGTGCTACAATGACTTATAAAATGGTAAAACAACAATATGTGTCAAAGAGCTTCTGATCTGGCCTTCGATGTCAGTTGATCATCTCAAAGTTATACCTTTTATAAGTATATATTTTAAATGCTTCATATTGTATGGACAAGACCTTTGCTTTTACTCAAGAGTCATTTCCAGTTCCAGTGCATGGTCCTTCATAAATTTTGTGTTACCCTCCTTTGTCTGGACTTCCATACAAAGCTGTCAAAGCTGTACAGCTACCCATGCACAGATCAGGGACATAGGCTATTCCATCAAGATATACCCAATTGTCTGGTCTGCTAATAACCCTCAAAGCTCCCACATTTCTGGAAGTTGATGGGAGTAAGACATTCACAGTAGGGGCTAAAAACCTATACAGTATTTTTCTTTACTTTCAGGCATAGCAAAAAAACCAGTGTGCATGTACAAAGTAAGACTAAGCCTTTCAAGGCAGTGATAATGACTATTTTGTTATCCTTGATGAAAAGGAAAAAAAAACCCATCACGTTATTGAACCTGGTCAGCGGTTTGTATCTGTGTTGGCTTCAGTGATTTTAATAAAACTACACAGATTAATGTCCAGAAAAAAAACCATTTCCAAAATCACAAAGTTATTAAAAACAAGATGGATGAATAAAATTACCTCTACAACTTTCTGCTGCCAAAAGTCTATCAGCTAAAATTATATTCCGTGGGTTTCCCATCTTAAGCAGAAAGTCCATTTTGGGCATAAAGAATTCAGCTCAAGGTGAGTCTTTGCTGTTTTATGTACATTGGACAGTAGCTTTTTAATTAAAAGAAGGTTACTTGCAGAGCAAATTGCATGAGTAAGAACATGAGATATTAATCTAGACTTTAAAGTGAAATACCACTGGCTTAGGGGAAGGGACTTTTACCCTTTCTTACAACCTTCTACCATGGCTGTGCAAGTTCCTAAGTTTGTTAGAAATTAGATCATTTAAATACAGAATAGGAAACTTCAGAATTACTCAAATACAGTTGTTAAACAGAACTTTAAGATTTTCTTCACTGTTGTTCAAGTGATAATAATTGAACCTTCCCTTAATTTCAAAGAGAATATACATTACTGAGAAAATGGGTTTTCTAAATTGCTACAATTTTCAGTATTTTACTACACTAACTCTGAAAAATGCCCTCTAAGCTTCCAGTTCTGCCTCTCAGTTGGCTTTACTTTGATAGGCATGTGAGTATCTCCCTCTAGTGGTTTTCAGAGCAATAATGTTGATCAGAGACCCCTCCAGTCACGAATTTTATGCTCCTTATCTCAGCAGTTCTCTTGCAGACATGTTGCTATCACAGTAGCTAGTGACACAGTCCCACACCATTAAATTCAACACAGTCTAATTGCCAAGGCTTTTGCTGTGAACTCCAGAGTCTGCACTAGGTCAACATACAGGCCTTACCCGTGTAGTTAAATAGATTGATGCACAATATTATCTTCCATCATTAACTGTTGTGTTCATTTGAATGCAGTGAAAACTCCTTACTCTTCTCAATAGCAGCACTTACACAGAGCACTCATCCTTGCCATCCCTAAGTAAAGCTTTATTTTCACAGGTATTGCAGTCTCTTCTATTTACTTTGTATCTTTGTGTAGAAACTTTTCTTCTGTTCATTTCAACAAGGACAAGCCAAAAATGCTTAGAAGGGAATGACACGTACTCAGCTGATACATGCGCAATCTCAAAGAGCCAACCATATAAACCCAACAGGTTCCCTCGTCTTTCTATGTGCTATGGGAGAGGCCCTTGTGTTCAGTAATTATGATTTATAAGGCTCCAGACAGGGTTTTTTCATATTTAATTTCCCTTAATATTGCAATAGTAATTTGCTCCAGATTGTTGCTTTTGGGACTTGCTTCATTCTGTTTTCTTTTGTATGTTCAGTAAGTAAAAAAGTCTGCTAATTTTTTAAGCCAAGGACAAAACAAAAAATTAGAGAAAGTAACTGACCATCCACACCACATGAAAACTTGCAGAAAAATGAAGATAGGAGCGGACGTCATGGCAGAGGCACGACTCGTTGTGCATATAGGCTGATCCTATTAATAACGGGCAAAGTAGCAAGTAGAGGAAAGGAAAGAAAACACAGAAAAAAAGACATACAAGATGAGATATCATGCAGTTTGCTAGCAGTTAGCAGAGTTAATGTGAAAGCATCCACCCAAGAGCAAGAGATTCACAGCAAATTTTGCAAATAAACTTAACCAAAACAATCCACTGTTACAAAACACATGACTTACACACTGATCAGCACATCAAGCTAGTGAGCAAGAGTTGTACTTTCACACACAATCATATTAGGAGCATTTGGAATATTCACAATGGCCAAATAGCTTTTGGATGGTTTTTCAACTTTATTTAATCTTTACTGGCCAGTAAGAAGACTTCCTTTTTAAAATAAAATTTCGTTACTAGAAACAAATGTATTGAATATCAACTTTTTTTTTAATACTACTGACATATCAGTAATTGTGCCTCCTTACAGGAAAAGCAGAGCACACTGAAACATGACTTGGTATACATAAGTTATAGCCAACTAACTGCATTAATTTGGGACAGTCTTTCCTTTGCAGAAATTGCATGAGGGACTAAAAATGAATTTTAAAAATATTTATTGTATCTAATGCCTGGCACTTTCATGTGCAGCACTTTCTGTCTTGAAATTTATTCTGAACAATTTAAATTCATTATAATCTCTTTCATACAGTATTTTGAAAGGTAAGGGGAAAAGCATATTCAAAATAATTTAGATATGTGGCACAGTTATAATTTTTTGCCTTCAAAACTTCAATGCAATACAGGAAGTACTAAACAGAACAATTTTAGTGATTTTAGTAAAGCAATGCACTTGTATACCTGTTAAGAATATGACCTAAGGGCAATACAATTTGCAGAATTAGAAACAAATCCTAAACCACATATAACATTCTTAATCATTTAACAACACCTTAAATAATATTTGGAAACATTATTATAAAAATACTACTTTTAAGCTAGGATTATCGTGTACTTGTGAAATCCATTGAAGAACTGAACTTCACAGCACCACATAGAGACCAAGTGTTATGCTCACTGATGTTTGGTTTTTTCAGTGAGAATTATGTGTGAAAGTACAATGATTATAGGAAAGCCAGATAAGAAAGCAGCTGCTAATTTTATGTTAATAATGGGATATTTGAAATAGAGTGACTATGGTCTAGAGTGAACAGTATGTTTAGTGATATATAGGTTACCAGGCACCAAGGTATGCTTAAACACAGTTTTCACTACTCTTCTAAAGTAGATCTACAATTGTCTTTAAAGATAGTCCTAAAGTCTAACAAGTTCAATTTTACCTGTTTGGCTTCATCAAAACAGACATCGGGACCCTTTCTGTATCGAGGTTGTTTGACCATTTCACAAGGATTTGGCCCCTCATCTGTTTCTCTGGTTAAGGAGCATGGTTGTTTTTCGTGCATCATACATCAGCAGGATTGACATTCTGTTTTTATTTTCATGGCACAAGAGAAGATTTATGCTAATTCAGATAGTACTGAAATAAACATCAATAGTCACAGTTCTTTGTTTGAAGAAAACCAACCCAACTCTCCAGATAAATCAAAATGAAATACCCTTTTTCTTACACTGTTTTAATTAAGAAAATAAACATCCTGCATAACTTTTTAGAATTAGTATTTTCAGAACTATACACAGAAAAAAAAAATAAAAGCTGCATTCTTTTAACATTTTCTGTATTGCTTTTCTTATCATTGCATAAATATTGAAGAAAATATTTCATAAAGTAATAAACTTTCAATGGTACTGATTGGTTATAGGTTATATTACCTCTAAGTTATTCTGCTAAAATGAAGATCATAGTAAAAGCAAGGAAACCTGTTTGGAAAATTAATGCTATATACCAGTTGAACATTGCAGTGAAAACCTATAAAAATGACTGGTTCTATTATGTGTACACTTATATTACCCCAAATATAGAAAAGATCATCCCACTGTAGGCTTTGATGGTAAATGACAGAAAAACTAATGAGATCTCATTAGCATTTCAGTGATGAAGCAGACAGGGAAAATGCTGTCCATACTAACGACAGAACATCAAGAGAGAAGTGGGAGCAGTGACACACTACTAATTGGCTAACTGTAAACATGAGATACTGCTTTAGCTTACATCTCTGAAATCTGTAATTGTTGATATTTAAGTGCAAATACTGTACTTCATATGTGCCACTGAGTAACAAGGGGCTCCTGTCATTGCAGCTGTCTTGAAAGGCCTGGGTGTGATAAAATGCAAAACTGTGTTAGGGTGAAACCTGCTTATATTACCATTCAGTGTGTTGTTTTGATTTTTTTTTTTTTATTCCACTGTAGGTATACACACATAAAAGCTAAACTAGAGTGTTTTAAAAAACTTAGCGCCAAAACTTTACTCATCTTAGTAGCTCTAACTTACACTTGAAGCAATCTTAGTTATGCAATACCATGGTGTGCTACAGCAGCTTCAGTGCAATAAGTAGAGAGACCAAAGGCAAGAGAAGGGAAGAGGATGCGGAATTTAGCTCTACAGACCTACATCTGCCTTCATGCAGATGTTATCAGACTCACCTCCCATTTTCTCTGCCATGGCCCAACTGAAAGGGAAGTAGAAACATGGAAATATCCTAAGAGACAATGAGCACAAGCAAAGCTGTACCAGCCAAAAGGAAGCAAAGTGTAATAATAACCATCTGAATAGCACCCAAAGGTCATTCTGTCTGCTTGGATGATGTTATGCTACATCTGCATTTCACAATGTACCTTAGTTACAGAAAAGAGAGAATAACTTAGTACTGCATAGTTGGAAAAAAAATAAAATAGTTCATTTAGTCAATATAAGCCCACCCAGCTGCTCTGGCTGCCATTTGAGGTCATTTATTGCTTTCTACGAGTTTTACCCCGCAGGAAAATGCAAGTCATGTGCCCATTTCCCATCAAACCTGCTTCATTTTCTATCATGAGTGCTGTGCATAAATTCAGACAGTGGCAACAGTTAATCAAACTGTCATGGACTGAAGCCAATTAGAATATTAGGCTGTGTTTACATAGTTCTGTGATGACACCCCAATGTAACTTCCTTTTCAGTCCAAGCGTAGATGGAATTCTAGTTTTATTAATGTGGCAATGAATGTATTGCTTGTGCCAAAGAAACAAATCATCTGTACTACCATCTGCTTTTTTTTCAGAAATGGGAGAGGCTGTCTCAACTAACTTCCTGACATGGACAAAGGTATTACTAATTGGTTTCCATATTCAATCATAATATTCCAAGTTATGATTTGATTTACCACCATGGTAAACCTGGCATGCTATCCTTGAGCCAGTGTTGCAGAGCAAGACTGAGGTGAATTTCTCCTGACCTACAATATGTGTATATTGGTTTTATGTATTTCCATCACCATAGTATCTACTGCAGTGAACAGGTTAAAGCAAAGAGATTGACATGAAGGTGGTTGTAAATTAGAACAATTTTTCACAGGCTTTTAACTTTAATGCATGTGTTGTAAGGACTCTGCTTAGCATGTAAGCCACCTACGTCTCCCGCCATCTCTGAAGAAACGCTATGCCAGCAGCTGGATAAACTCTAGCCTTTGGTAGCTAAAGCAGTTTCCACAAGTAAGCAGTTTCACAGATTTCACAGAATGTTCTGAGTTGGAAGGGACCCACAAGGACCATCAAGTCCAGCTCTTAAGTGAATGGCCCCTACAAGGATCTAACCTGTAACCTTGGTGTTATTGGCACCATGCTGCAACCCACTGAGCTATTCTCTTGTCACTGGCTCTGAGCACACGCTATGCTTCCATCAATTAGCTACTGGTGTAGCCTCTCAACTTTTCATGAACAAACACTCGTATCTTGGCATTGCCCATTTTTGTTATTTCTCTAGACAGACATACCCTTGTCTTTTCTAAAGGCTGAACAAACCCAGGACTCTCAGACTCTCCTTGCCTTTTCTATGCTCTAGACAGCAACCTCTTTAGTGGCCCTTCACTAGACTTCCTCCAGTATTTCAGTGTGGTACTAGGAAGCCCTGAACAGTACACAGCACTCTGGAGGTTGTCTCAGCAGTGCTGAAGAGATGGGATGGATCAGTTCTCCCAATCTGCTGACTACACTCCTGCTATCACAGCCCAGGATGCAACTGGCCTTCTTTACTGCAAGGCACAGTGCCAACTCATGTTCAACTTGTTTGTCATGAACCTCAGGCCCTTTTCTCCATAGGTCTTCCTAATAGCTCTGTCTCCAGCCTGTCCAGCTGTGTGTAATTATTCTGTCTTGGGCCCAAGACTTTGTATCTGACTTTTTGAAACTTCATTAAGTTCCTGGGAGCCCACTTTTGTCTAAGTTCTCACAAATAAGAGCTCTGCTCTCCACCTCAATGACTGCTGGTTGAGATGATTTGTGATATTATCCACAAATACTGGCTGTTTCAAGTATTCCAGTGGATACCATGTTACTAATATGTACATAAACGGGTCATTTTTCCCCAAATATATTCCAATATCCCATAGCCAAAAATCAATCCACACTATTAAATAATGTGATTTTAAAGGATACCCGGCTTCTCTGCTTGCATCAGTGGCTTTGGGTCACAGGAGCGGCACAGCAGTTGGCTGTCACTAATAATGAATACTAGATTGGTGTTTGAAATCTTCTCTGCATGATAAAGTCTGGAAAAAAAGACAACAAAAACCTATGTTTAAATAAAGAAAGAAAATTCATATTTGAGAAGGAGACACAATATTGGAATAAAAAAATAATACAGTTTCACAGAGTCAGTCTGCCTGCTACTGTTTATCTTTTTCATTAACAAACAGCAAGAAACATTTATAACAAATTTTGTAATCTTTTCGACATTTCCATGGTACTCTCTTTCAACTAGACTTGTTAGTGGAAAAAAATGGAAAAGAGCATAAAATTACTTTAATTAATAGCTAGCTCTGTACTGCTGCCGCAGTAGCTGTACTGAGAAATAACATCGGTTCAGCATCAATTAACACTGAGAAAACCCCCAACCACAAAAACAAACAAGCAAAACCCCAGCACATAAACCTGTCTATAAAAGGGTGAGGGAAAGGTTTAGGGTATGTATTGGATATGTATTGGATATGTATTTGTTGTATTTTCATGTCCATATAATTCCACAAAAAGTCTTTAAGTTAGTAGGGTCATCCACAATTTATAAATAAAACCAACAAATACTAGCAACATGGAGGAGGATTTAGGGAAGCGTGAAAAATGTCTGCGTGTTTTGGCTGTATTCACCATTCTCAGATGTCCTCTGTCTTTCTTTCCTGGCTTGAAATATTGTCTTCAAGGAGTTTGAAATCTGGCTGTTAATTCTAATTTCTAAGATATTTTCAGAAGCTCAAAATGCATGCAAAAACCAGCAGGCTCTTGTATGAGACACAGAGCAAGGTCCAAACTGCTGTGTTTCTGAAGTGTCCAATTTTTTGACATAATATTGAACATCATCTGAATAGGCATGTAGAGCCTGAAGAGTAATTCTTTTAATCACAAAATAAAATGGCTTTGTTTGCTTTATAAGACTCACAGCTCTTAAATCATAAGCAGTATTGAATAGAAGGTAAATTAGAAGATAAATTGCATAATCTTCTTAACCATCAAAAATTTCAATACATAACCAGATTAAAGAAAATTTTATCCCTCAGAATATTGCAGAATGCTTTTAAGTTGACATAATAAATTAAAAAAAATCAAGTTGTAACAGCGATAGAAATACAGTTTTCATGAAGCATATAGAGATTATAAACCAAAAAATTGACTAGAGTATTTCTACGATTCTTTAATTGTTAGAATTAAAATTCATTCTCAACGGTACAAAGGGAATGTAATTTATCTGCCTATAAACTTCTCTGTCTTGGTTATGTAAGTTTGGTGAAATTAATCCAAAATATATTTTTTGTTCTTATAATAGTGTCATTATGTTTTGTAAAATAAATGACAATTCCAAAGTTGTTATTTACATTGAAGAAATTTTACCTGGAGCAGTTTATACAGTCTACAATCCCACCAAAGGATTTATCATCATTTTCGAAGAAATACTGAGTTTGCTCAGTGATGCAGCTTGTTTTAGGCAGAGCAGCACCGAAATCATCATCTTCCATATCAGCTGACGTAAAGAAAAAAAGAAAATAAATAAACAATGACAATTAAAGTCACAGACATAATGGGGAGATCCAAATATGGCTCCCAGCCTAGGTTCTTACCTTCTACTTCACTCAAAGTTGACTCTTTAACATTCTCTTGACTTACCTGCTTCAAGGAACCGTGGAAAAGTCAAGCTCAAAAACAGCTGCTGTAAGATAGACCTGAACACAGAAAGACAACATGTATTCATTAAAGGATCTTTTTCTTCCATGTATTTAATGGATACTTGAAAACTAGTCAAATACAAGTTATTAAAAATTATTTTTTTATTTTTTTTTTACACTTTTGCCTGTTATTAAAGCTGTCTTTCTTTAAACCTTACAGTTTGACTCTGGTTTTCTTTTCATGCATTCTCACAGGTCTTTCATACTAATCTTTTATTCTACTGTCAAGATTTACTATAACTTGTGCCCATAACTCGCGTAATGGAAAAGTTAACATACCATCCATGCACTCCTTTTATAGCTCTGCAGGAGGTGGAAGAGGTATGTTGACATTCCTCTAACACTTAAACCAACCAGAACTCCTTTTGAACACACTCAGGTAAAATTCTCCTGACTTAGTTACTTTACACTGATTAAGGTTCATTAAATTGCTAAGAAGGAGACCAACACTGGAATATTACAAGTATATTATAAAAAACATTACTGTAACAATTGACTTTTAAAATCTTCTCTATTCCTGCTGTTGAATTATGGACTGTATTTTCTTCCTACTTGCTGCCAAAACACTAATGTTTAAAGAGCTTCATTTATTTAAAATTATTTTTCTTCACTTATGATCGTATTTTTCCAATTTTATTTACTTAAAGCAGGTACCAGCTTGTCACATACACAGCCCCCTTATCCTCTAAGAGCCTGTCAAAATAAGAACTGCAACAAGTATATTCCTTGACTCCCTGTTTCCACTTAAACCTTCCAGAGTTGTATTTTCCAGTTGTAAAGTTTTAGGTTTACTTTTACCCACAAATATGACTCTTATCTCATTCTGATCTAACATTTGTTCGGCAGAGAAAAGAGAGTGTATAACTTCATTCAACCTTCCATTTTTTTTTTCTCCTTTTCTCCTTATCCAGCATGCTTCCTATGTAAAGAAACTGAATATGCCTGTCACCTTTCCCAGGAAGGCAGTGCCTGAAGGAGCTCTGGATTTGCATCCACAGCTTTGTGCTTTAAATCATCAGAGGGAAGCACACAGCAGCCATGGATCAGAAGAGACCTGGTGCCATTCAATAGTGATGCAATTTGCTGACAGAAAATAGTAATCCTTTGTAATGGCTTACCACAGAATTTACAGGGAACTGAATGAAAAAGGCAGCCTGGGAAAACTTAAATCTTCTGACTTAAAGGAGCCTGAAGGGAAATGATACAGACTCTCTTAACTAAATGCTGATGTATCCCATATAAATTTTGAACATGATTGCTCACACCTTTATCCCACATTTTTACCTGAAACATTATATCTTTCTTTAATAACCTGGTTTCTTTTATTTTCCTGCATTTGCTTTTGCCAGGTGCCTCATCGAATCCATTTTTTAGTCAGCCCTTTTCACTCTGCTTGCTTAATGGCCTTCTTTGCCTGCTTCTGACCTAGATTCCATTAAAAACATGCCCATAGTAAGTGCTTTAATGTTGTGCTTTCAAGTTAAACTTCATACAGAAAAACCTCAGTTCTAAATTGAGTCCAGACCACTAAGTCTGATTTGAACACTGATAAACTAAAGTTTCTTGAGGAGAACTCAAGTTTCTCTACTGGATTATTGCCCATCTTCAGTTTTTGAGGTTTGCTATTGTCCAAGAAAACCGAGATTATTGCTCTTCCTGTTAACAAAACGTAACCAACAATAAAAATCAACATACAATCTTCACAGTGCTTCTGTGAGAAAATTACTATATGTTTTTTCAGCTGGTATATATTTTAACCCTTAGCTTAATAAAGTAGGTAATTTATTCCAGCTCAGTAGTTTAAAAAAAAAAAGGCATCATGAAGTTTTAGAAAAAGGAACTGTCTCCCAGGGGACAATCCACACCAATGCAGAAGTACCAGGTCAATCTCAATTTCTTATCCCAGTGCCAAGAGGTGCTGGAGGAAGTAGCTGATAGGAGTTTCAATCTACACGGCTCTGAAACAGGTAAAATACTGCACCTGAGTACTGTGTGCAGCTCTGGAGCCCTCAACACAGAAAAACAAGTGGGTCCAGAGGAGGGTCTCAAATATGATCAAAGGGATGGAACACTTTTCCCACAAGGAAAGGTTGAGAGAACTGGGGTTCAGTTTGGATAAGAGGCGGTTCCAGGGAGACCTTAAAGTGGTCTTTCAGTACTTTAAGGGCCATTTAAGAATGATAAGGACAAAGTTTTTAGCAGGACAAGGGGTAATAGTTTTAAACTAAAAGAAGGTAGTTTCAGAGAGATACAAGGAGAGTATTTTTATGGTGAGAGCAGTGAAACACTGGCACAGGTTGCCCAGAGAGATGATAGATGCCCCATCCCTGGAAACATTCAAGGTCACATTGGAATGGGCTCTAAGCAGTCTGATCCAGTTGAAGATGGCCTTGCTCATTATAGGAGGATTTGGACTGCATGACCTTTAGAGATCCCTTCCAAACCAAATGATTCTGTGATTCATGTGTTTTGTAAAATGATTTACTGATTTTCTTAGGACTGCTTGCTAGAAAAAGGGAAAGATGATATTCTGAAATAGGTAACCAAGTGATAAGTGATTCTAAATGTAATAATTTTGACTGAACCTTCACAACTGCTAATGGTACTTAGGCCACTAATCCAAAGTCTGCTTCCTGACGTTGATTTTGTAGAGTCAGAACACACAATCATAAAACCTGGCAAGAGCAGTTTTGAATTCACCTGTTGATAGAATGGTCATGTTTGGAGACATAGCTGAGAATTTAGGGGGAAATATTAACCCAAGCTAAATACAGTCTCAACCCACTGAATAATTATAGTTTGAACATAGAGATTTCCTACACACTTGTACTTACCAGGCAGCTGCTGAAGCCCACCATCCTAGTTGTAAAATATCTGTTATCGTAGGCTGGGAAAAAAACAAGTGATTATGTTATTTGTATAAATACCTGGAGACTTTTAATAGAATGTCAGCCACTGTACATGGGACTACTGACCACATAAGCAGAACGAAGTCCAGCTCCTTGCTTTGGTTCTTCTTCAGGATCACAGACTGATTGATAGTCATATGACTTGTTGAAGGCATACAGGGACATGTTAATCAGGTTTCGCATCAGGCCAGGATCAATCTCACCAAAGAATCTTCCAATCTGATGAGAGAGAATATAGAGACATCAGATAAAGTATATCCCAGTATAAATCCATTGGCAGCCTACCAGCCTAAGGGCAAAGCACAAAAATTACAACTTGGTAGAAATATGGCATCTTCAAGCATAAATAAGACTGTAATAAAGACAAATAAAAAACCCTGGAATTTCTGATCCAGCGATATTTTTGTGATTCAGAAATGTTATCTTTAGGGTAAGTTGACAGTAAAAAGCTGCTTTTATTTTCTTTTAAAAATTCTTCCTGTTGGTTTTCATGTTCTGTCCTTAAAAAATATACATACCTGTTGTGTATATTCATCTCGGTTTGACATCAAAAGAAATCCACCATCGTCAAGGATAACACAGTCCACATGCTATTGTAAGAAAGAGTGAAATAGGTTTTACAGGAAAGATTTGTCAATATAGCACTCTGTAAGAAACTATTTTTTCTTCAACACATATCTTCAAATCTATGTGGTTCAGGCTAAATCACAAACTCATAGCCAAGGGCCACGTTTAAGCTATAATAATTAGCATTATCAGTGTAATAAAAGTCTGAACAGATCAAAGGCTTATTTGTGGCTTAATTTCATAGAAGTTCTTTTGTAAATTCTTATTTGCTCAATACTTTGTGAGCTCCAAGAATGCTATATCCTTATTAAATCTGATTATAACTGAAACTCAACTCATAATAAGGGACTACAACTTCTCATGGGCTTCAGCCATGCCTAAAGTCCTTTTCCATTTGCAGATTTCAACAGTAAAAATCTTAAGGACAGACTCTCAGCTTGCTAGTCATGATTCTTTTCACTTGCCAAGGACTGTAGTGGGATTGTGGGATTCTTCCAGCTGTCAGGTGCAGTAACGGGAAGCCCACTTGTTCTCTATGCTTTGCACTTTGTAAAAGATCCTTGCAGCCAGAGATTGGAGAGATAGCAGTGAGGTCAAATAGATAACCTCCCAGAGTACCCTTTTTAGATGTAATTCTCACATTTAATGGTCTTCACACTCTACAAAAGAACTCAGAAGACCTGAGTAGAGGAAAGCTTTTAAATTCATGGCAACACTTGATATGGTGACAGTCCCTGGAGCTGTGCTCTCCTGAGTGCCAGCAGAGCAATGGGGTCCCCTAATCATAAATGTGCTGAGAACCAGGGGGAGGAGGATGACTAATGACTGTTGAAAGGCACATCACATACTCTGGTGCTTCTCAGTTTGCATTTATCCTTCTCTGAGGTAATTCTAATATTGGGGCTTTTTTTCAGATTTTTTCAAATTATTCTGTTTTCTCAGAATTTGTCTCTTGCTTTGCAAATTACTGTTATATTTTTCTCACATTTCTCTTCACATCATTCTCTATTGCTTTTCTTGTATTTTTTTCTTTACACTAGTTATCATAACCTCACTGCAATGATTCTTGCAACAGGCACATCACCTAACTTTTATGCCCTTTCCCCCTCTCCCCTCCTAACCTTCATCTGTCTCAAGACACAAACAACTAAGCTCTGTTTTCTGTAACATTAACCCTCAAATAACAAAGATAGAAGCTTTGTCTTAGATAAATCTAGAGAGAATGAGTGAATTTTCATAATCTGTCAGATATCATAAACTGAAAGTATTCTTACCATGCTATTTCTCTCACATCCACAGATTTCACTGTTGCACTAAAAAACAAAAATACAGTAATCTTCACAAAAATGTTACAAAACCCTCTGTATTTTGCAGTTATATTAATCTATCATGACAGGAACAAGTGACTCTATTTTCAGTATCTATATATTAATATAAATTTTGAGTACATGTCATTTATTACAAATTTCTCTCTGAACAATTCAGTAATTATTCAGTAATTATCAACAGCACAATCTGCCTTTCCCAAAAACTCTGATACAGGTCCTTTTACAGATATGTTCAATATATTAGAGATAAATAGTTTGGAGGACTTGTCAGAATGTCAGTGTTGTGAGCATAAAGTAAAAGAGAAAGAACAGGTACATTGCCATGTGTTTGGGGTGTGGAAAGAAAGCTTTTAAAAAGAGAAAGCTTCACCAGTCTCAAAGTGTGGGAATTCTACATGATAAAGAAAGCCCATCAACCCAGTTATCTTTTATGGCTGTTGATTCCTAACATGTTTTTCTTTTGTTCTTGCAATATGTTTGCACATACGCACATAACTGTGTCCTTGCATTACGTCCTGAGCAAAACAACTACCAGATAATGTCCTCAACCTCATAGTAAATCTGAGATATTCGTCTTTCTTTCTGTTTTTCACTTATGTATTTTTGTACTCAACTGTCCTTAGCATTTAGGCAATGCATCTGCTTACCCACTGACTGCTCAAATACCTAAAACAGCCAGCCACCAATGCCTGAAATACACAACCCACCAAGCAACATTGCCTCATCCAATATGGAACTTACGTTCCATAAGTTTTTTTCATTTTGTGCCTCTCCTTTACGAATTCAGTATCAGTTCCATGTTTTTCTTTTCATTTAACTTTTCCTTCTTCCCACTTACATCTAAGCATTAGATGTATGGAATGATGTGGTTAAGCATCTATTTCCTTAAGTTCTGCTACAATGCTGCAGTGTTGGCTGCAATATCAATCCTTACTGTTCACTGTTTACCCATCCTCCATATTAAATAAAAATAGATCCATCAATTCTTCAGCAGATATTATTCACTGCTACAGCATAATCTTGTAGAGAGCCTACTGGCTGGAATATGTAATTTTTCTTTGTCTTTATCCATGTTTTATAATTATGAAAGCAAGACGTACAAAATACAGCCTATTTCAACATAGATTTATTTTGTGCATTTGGATGATTTAAATACCACAACTACTTGGCAATTTCACATCAGTGTAACTCTGGCAAAAAGAGTTAGTAGACCTATTTGCATCTGAAGCTTTGAGAAATGCAAATAAAGTTCAAAAAAGACTTGGTCAATTGCTTACCAGGCTCTTGATTGTGGTTTTTGTGAAATTTTCCATCCAGCTGGTTGCATCAATTTTTATTCCAACAACTAACAAGAAATACATGAAAGACTTTTTTAGTAAAATGAAAAAAAAAAGGTAATGTAGAATCCTAAAATAAAGGGGAAAATTATAAGAACATCTAAATCATTGAACTGCAGAAGGGTAAAATATGAGTTTTACTCAGTTGTCTGATCACCAGCATCCTTCATGAGACTAATAAATTAAGCACTCTTACTCAAATACAACCAGATATTTGGCTTGATTTCTTCCAGCAAGGTTAGAACTGTTTCACAGAAAATAATGTTATTATGAAGTGAAGTGCCTTTGAAATTTCAATTAACTTTCTAATTCACTGTTGAGCAACAACCAAATAACTAAAGTATTTAGAGTTTCGGCACCATTCTGTCTTACCTGCTGGCTTCAGATGTTTTCCATTAATGTCTATTTCCACAGCCTTGCTTACCATAATACCTGATTCATAGCTATTGGCACCACTTTCTGACAGTATAGAAAGGGAAAAAACAAAAAACCAGAAAAAGTTAGGACGATATAAAAGCCTCTTCCTCTGAAACTTAAATTATTACTCAAATACCCAGAATGATTAAAAAAAATCCTTATCCAAAAGCACTGACCCAGCTGTAGTACACATCACCTGTGGTAGCTCAGATACCAACACCTGCATGACTAAGAGGAATGCTTCTGCTTACTTTTTTCATTCACTTTTTGTGCACTGTTTGACTGCTTCATAAAGTTACTGTAGCCTTTTTTTCTTCCGCAAGCAGAGCCATGAATAGCTTTACACATGTGAGCAGCTCTGTTAAAACCAGGAGCAGAGCCAAAGATTTTATCCTGCTGTTGTTTATGTATTTTTCAATGCAGGGTATACTGACACCACTCACTAACCAACAATTACTGTTCTGACAGACTTCAGCCTGTTTTCAACACTGCTTAGTATGAGAAGGCAAGTTAAAAGTACATTCCCTGGAGCTATGTGAGGAACAACAAAGGCTTCAGGGAATTCAGTTAATTATCTTCTTTATATTTTATTTTATTGAGAAAAAATGCAATAAATAATTATGAAATAACAGCACTAAAATATCCCACATGTTTAGGAGAGGAGTACATTGTTTGTGGTAGCATCTGCTTATAAACAAGCTTAAGAAGGTTAATGTTGCTCACATCAGTCATGAGCACTTACTGTTGTGCATATATAATTTTAAATGTCACGATATTTCAGACAAATTGGTTTTGGTGAGTAATAGAAATTAGAATTAGAATTCAAAAGCAAAGTTTAAATTAAGGTGGTGCAGTGGACAGAGTTGTGAACTCTGGACCTTTTTACCTGCTGCCCCAAGTCAGGTTTGGTGCTAAGGCAGCATACAGAACTCAATCCAAATATGACTTTTTAGGTAGTGTTATTGTCTCTGAGTGCAATTTTATTTCACTTCCTTTTAAAATAATTCTGCTAAAGTATCTCTGTAAAAAAGTGTTTCAATATGTTAAATGAACACCAGTACTCTGGATATTTTCAGCTTTATTAATTCTGAGTATACAGGGTCTCTGGAGTTGATGAAAAATTATAATGACCCGTGTTTGATGCCCTCCTAGCTGCCTGTTCCTCAAAGGGGTATTGTCCCAAGATTTCTTTCCTTATGAAGTGTCCCACTTGCATCTTTTGTCAATGATCTCGACTGGTATGGAAAACTTATATTGGACTAGCTAGCTCTAACATTTTGAAACAGTGATGACTTACTGTTGTAATATGGAGCTGTGAAAATATAGTTGTTATTATCTAAACTCCTTTTATAGAAGCTGACTTCATAAGTTTCAGCATTTTCCAACCAATCTTCTCCTGCCCTAAATACAAAAAAAATATTAGTGATCAAAAAAGACAGAATCTCATTAAAGTTGTGCTGCAGGTTATTTTCATTTAATGTTTCACGGTTGGAAAAAATGTCAGATTCATTCTTCTAGTCCTCAAATTTTGTCAGTTTTCACCGGTTAACTGGCAGGTGTCATTATTTAAAAAAAACAAAACAAAACAAAACAAATCAAAAAACTTTCATAAAAAAAAAGAAAATAGTATTCTGGGAACAATATGAATCCTGTCTCATCACTTTTAGATATATAGAGTCAGATATAACTGCAACACTATTTACAAGAAAATCTAAACCAACTTTTACAGCACATGCTATCTCTTGAGCTTAATCCTAAAAAAATTAATATCATTAATAACCCCAAAATAGGAAAGAAACTGACCTGAGGAGTAAAATTCATTGTTATTTTCACATTTGGGGGAAACACAGAATAAACCAAGAAAACAGATAAATCTGCCTTTTACCAGTATGTCTCTACTGGTGCCTTCACTATTCCCAGTTACTCGTGGGGGTGTCTAGTTTATTATAAATCCAATTTCGCATTCATTTTTTGTCCTCTGGTAATGATACATTTTTCTCTCTTGAAGTCCCTGAACCATTTGGCCTGATCTTAGTTTAAAAAAAAATAAATCACCTGTTACTTTCCAGTATTTGCAGCCTGCCAAACAACTGGGTGCTTGGGAGTAATTAGGGATTAGCAGGGCCCCACTGCTACTACAAGGGCATTGCCTTTATTGCTGTTCTACACTGATTAGAAACTTGGATTGCAAGGACCTGTCATGAAAATAATGTTGCCAATCAGTTTGAAGCAGTGACACAGGTAAAATCAAAGAAAAACAAGACATTCCATTCATTTCCTAACTATCAGTACAGATTAGACTGTAGGAGACTGTAGTTTTTCATTCAATAAATCCACTATTTAACATTCTACCCTTTCATATTTCAAAATTATCATATTATACTATTTTATATTAATTCTTACCTTTTGGGGAATACTCTAGTTATTCCACCATCTGTAACAACAAATTGTGCAACAACTCCATCACTGTAAAAAAATAAGATTTAAAATAAAAACTGACTGAAATTCTGACAAGTTCCTATGTCAAGGGTTGTCATTAATGTGCATAATTGTGAATTAAATACCTATTCTTTGTAAACATTAACTGCATATCTGTACATACACACAGATGTATATTATTTTAAAATCAAACTTTGAAATGCGTTAAAAAAATCACAGTCAATAAAAAGAATACTTACAGAGACAGTTTACTCCAATAATTTCGGGCAAGTTCATCTGTAAATCCTGCATCCAGCAAAACTCTAATGACCATATCGGTATTACCTATCAAAAGAGTTAAGACACTCATCTGAAACCATATGAGATGGAGTTTCATTAAAAGGTTAAAATGAAATTCTGAGTTGTCTAGTCACAAAATTTGGACTATTTCTATTAGACATACTGGCCAACTTCAAATTACATCAATTAATTAGTGTTAAATAGATTGCTCTCACACTGTTGAATTCACTTACACATTTCCTTTATTGTATCCTAAAATACTTATCCTTGTGTAAGAGGAATAAGCAAGGTGATAAGGGTATAGTTCCCAGCTTTGCAAAACCTCTATGTTAAATCTGGAAATATTTTTAAAGCATGTTTTTATTAAAACACTTTTTATCTTTTTACAGGGATGTCATGTTTAAATTTCTTTAAAAAGATGGTTTGAAGTCAGTGCTTTGCAAGTATCTTTTTCAATACCACTTTGGAAGAGAAAGTTCTTATAGTATATAGATTATTCCTTTTGAAAAGCATTTTTAGCTTTTAGTGTTATTCATTCCTTTAGTTAACACTGTTTTCTTATTAGGGAGACTATTTTTAAAGTAACTTAATTATTAGGGAAAAAAAAAAAGAAAAAAAGCCAATTTTGACATGTATTCCAAAATGAAATACAGAAATATGTAGATAAAATTTTGGAAAAATTACTTATTAAGCCCTGTTGTATACTACAATATCACTAAATGTGTTCTCAATATTTGTTTATATAGGTAGTGAAGAGTAAATTAGAATTTTTATTTATTAACTGCTTTAGTCATTGGAGGTGAACACTTTCATTTTCAATGCTGAGTCAAGGGATTCAAACAAAATTTCAGTCAGTCAGTAATGTGTCAATGAATAAGATCACTCTACTAAAAAGTACATCAAACACCTACACATACACACAAAAATAGCCTTTTGTGAGAAGATCTCATATCTAAGTGCACATTCCTCCAGTTACATGGTCTAACAGAGAGGTCCTTTCTGAATTGATCAGTGATCCCTGACAGAAACATGTTAAAAAAACCTGGGGAATGCAAGACAAAAAAAAAAAAAAAGTTTATTCCAACTATTTATAAATTACTAATAATGTTAAACAGATGTATGTGTGCAAAACCAAATCCAAACATCAAATTTTTCATGAGAACAAGACTTTAATACCTTACTGATGGTTCATTCAAAAGTGTTCATTCTAAACAGAGGTTAAGGCCCTATTTCAAAACATGAATCCCAAAGCCCAGGGTCACCACTGCAGCAATTACATGGATCTGTGGTCTTGAGCTATTCAAGCCTGACTGAGATATCTTTAATCAATTTGTGAACCAGTAATAGAACCTCCTTGTTCTAGTTGTTGGCTATTTTGGTTCTGGACTCCTTTACTTAGTTTGGAATAAAATGATAAGAAAGCAGACTGAAGATTTCATTACAAGAGTTTGAGTCAATTTGGGACTTTGGCTTATACGCTGAAGTGAAAAAATATAAATTCAAAATATTTGGAGTGTATTAAAAAGAATCAGTAGTTATTTGATGCTTGAACAGAATGCTGAGAGGAATTATGGAAAACACTGGATGCAAAATGCCCTGAAAACTTTCTTAAATAGAGCCAAAAACTTGCAAACTAATTTTACAATCTCTACCTTGGATAGAAAATCCTGACACCAGATATATTTCTACTAAAAAACCAAACCCACAGGATTTGAGCATGACCTCTCATTTATTAGAAAGTATTTTTCTAAGGAAAACTTTCAGTGAATTGAGAAGCATACTTACATGATGAACTGCCTGGAGTATTTCTGTCAATAAATTCATTGAAATTTAATAGAAATTCAGTGTTGTTTTCTGTTTTTTTTACATCATTACAGTATTCTCTGAAAAAACAACAGAATATCAGCCTTCTCAGATTTGTTCCCTTTGCTACTAAAGCAGACAATTCTAAAGCCCAGCAGGATTGTACTCCTATGATGAGGAAGCTGCCACTACTGTGCCAATTGACTGCCACATTCAATACTGAATAACAACTGTAACAATTATTTCAGGCATTACAGGAAATAAGGTGTTCAAGTGCCTGTCTAAATCTGATTTAGAGGAAAACTGCATGTATGAAATAGGGCATAGTTTCCCAGAAAAAACTCAGGACTGTGAAATTAGGAGATCATAATCTGTGAACTAAATATAAAAATGCCCAGTGAATTTAAACAGCTCCTAGGTTAAACTGTACTGGAAAGTACAGAGCCTGCTGGTGAAACATAGTCACTTCATGCTCAGCTAAGGCCAGATCTATGAACCTATTACCCATAGGACTCGGAAGAAGTATTAAAGGCAGTTTTAATAAACATAAACATATAAGCACTCTTTGTTTTGACATATGCAAAACAGATAAACCGTAAACTATTCTTTATACCATGTAATAAAACACTATATCATTAGGTAATTCACTCAATGCAAGCAAGCAAAATAAAAGTAACTGGGTATTTTGGAATTAAACATTGGATGGTGAGTGGCGTTAAACAACTTTAATTAAAATGTAGAGAGTATTTAGCAGTCAAGCAGAGGGTTCTCTTTTTTAAATGAGCTTTTAATATTTAATGAATTTTACTAACAAAAGAAGTATGTTCAAGTATTTCATATGACTAAGATGTCTTATTACCCTTTATTTATGTTACCACGATCCTGAAATACTATAGGCAGACTTTGCCTTACTATACCAATATTCACATTTAAACAGAACCACATATCAAACTTACTTTGTTGATGAAGGACAGCCTAACGACTATGAATTTGTTGGAAACTGCTAACTGGTACAACTGATTATCAGTAACCTCAGTCTTTCAGAAAAATAAATTAAACAGTTAAGCTGAGATACATTTTAAGATAGAAGAATTTTACATACCATCAATCTAGTCATGGAAATCAATCTATTAATTGAAATTTAAACGTATACGGAAAATTATCAGATAAGTAAGGAATGAAAAAATTCTCAACTGATCTTAACTGTACAGCATTTCCTTTATATATCATAACTATCTTTTAGACAAACAATTTTTAAAAACTGTTTATCATACTAGGTTTCCCTTGCAAACATAAATTTAAAAGGGCAACAAGGTCCGTACAATTTCACATAAAAAGCCCCAAAGAACTAATGAATTTAATCAATTTTCAATCACTTAATAATTTTTATGTTCAATTAATCAAAAATTAACTCATCCTTAAGTGATAGAGAGCTTTGAAACCCTTTGTCTTGAAGCTGGGAAACATCTTGACATAGGTATTATGGAACTTATTTTAAAAATGAGAGCCTAAGGTACAAAGTTGTAAAGTCTTAAAAGTCAGAACCATAAGAAATGAACACACATGTATAAGTTTTCCATTAAAACATCTATATCAGATTTTACATCTCTCTTTGATTGATATAAACAGGAATCAGAGCCTGAAGATGCTATTTACTTTCCAGCAAGAAGATAGACAATTTTTTAACAAAATGAAACTTTATTGGTCAAGTCTGTATTTTTTATGTGTCATTAATCTGATCAAATGCCTATTTGCTGAAATAATACTTATTATTGGGAAATTAACTAACCTTGGTGCTATAAACGTATAGCCAGCTTCATCAAAATGTTCAAGCTTCAGTGTTTCTGAAACTACAAAGATGAAGAGTAAACACCAAGTAAATGAACTAGGACTTTTGCCATCATTTCTCTTCTCAAACTATTAGGTTAACTTTTGCATGCATCCATGAATTTAGAAAGAAATGTTTATTTTGAGACACTTTCCCTACTAATATACTCTGTACGTCTCAGTATTTCACAGTATAGGAAGCAATTATCTTATATACAACATACATCTGGAAACAAGAAGATATATCTAACAATTTGTTTAAAGGGGACATTTAATTAGCACGACAACATGAAAACATATGAGATGTTTTCATTAGAATTACAATCCAATACAAAGAAATATTTGGGACACTAATTTGTTAGAAAATGAAGAAAAATGCTCCTACTATTTTCTGCGATACAGTTTAAAAACTTCAATTGTATTAACATCACTGTCAATCCTACTGAAAATAATGGTTTTAATAGCTGATATCACTGAACATTGATAGGACCAGACAAAGAAGGATTAGAGATTAGCAACATATTGAAATGTGCATGAAACAGAAAAATACTTCATTTTTTTTCCCCTTTCTATTGCTATGGTACCCAATGACTATGGAGAAAATCCTGAGGTGAGTAATACAGAGGAGAATATCCAGTAGGAATAGGAATATCAACTGCAGTAAACAGAAGGAAATTGAGCAACAAGAATATACTTGCCCTGTTTGGTTGTGACTATCCATCAGAAAGAGAAAGCAGGGAAACAGAAAAAAACAGGGTAAAGCACAAGGGGTCACAAACCAATATTTTATTCAAACAGCCCCTTGAATAAAAATATTGTACATAGATAGATCAAAGGTTCAATTTACATACAGCTATAGTCTGGAAAAAAAAGGACAAACATCTCTGAAGACTGAAGAATATGCCCTTCTCACTTATTTCTCAGTACCTTCTATATACTGTGGCTATTTCAAGGGTCTGTTTTGCAGGTTATATTGATATAAGTGCAAAACCAGAAGATCTAATCCATCAAGATAACCATATTCTTTCCTTAAAACTTTAATTTTAAACTGCTTACTACTGGATAAAGTTACAAAATAAATCACTGATTATTAAAAAGTTGCCATATCCGACTTCATATGCAGGAGGCAATGGTAGAGGAAAGTGATATAGTGCTACCAAGTTTTCTCTAAACTAACAGTATTTATGTCTGTCAGAGTTTCATTGTGCTTTTCTAACTTTCTATTTAACTACATACTTGTTCTAAGTATAAAGTTAAAAGGCTGTGATAGGTTCTATTTCATGTACTATCTAGACTACATATAATAAACAAATAGCATTTCAATATTGACAAGTGTAATTTCTAGCTATCTCTCCAGAATTGGTAAATGGCTTGAAATTAGTCTAATCTAAAACCAGAATACAAATGTCCACTAAAACTATATGTAAAATGCAAAATAAAAGCCTAACTGCAAGCCAAACCACACAGGGCTTTCACATTGCTTTATTCCTACAGGCAGCAGAGGTCATCTGCTAAATATTATATCATAATTAAAATACAAAAAATGCTTTATTATCGTAGTCTATATCACTACATTTTGCTAATAGAATGAAAAAAACCGGTATCCAGACCCTTAAAATGACAGCAACAGAGGATACACAAAGCAATGATTCTATAGGCACAGAGCAAGGAGGAAGGGATTGTCAGTGGAACTGGGGTACCTGCACATATTCTATTTTTATAGAATATTTCTTGCACCTTGAATGTTACAATGGATTAGAATCATTGCTGCAGATTTTGGGTACATCATGATAACATCAGTGAATTCCACAAAAGTTATGAATTTCAAACATTGCTTTTTAAGTGAATCTGAGACTTGGCAATACTAGACAAAAACAGGGAACCTTCACAGTACTTACATTTGGCTTGAGTTATTTGTTCTTCTATTTTGGCTTTAATATAATAAAAGCTGTATGATGGTAACACCAATGCCAAGCTGCAATAGAAATTAGACAAGTAAAGCAATTATGTTATTTCCAGCAGTTTTCCACTTTCAGCTTCTCTGTGTTTTGAAAGCAATTAATAAGTTTGGAGATTGGATCATTATGAGATGAGATGAGATGGTCACACAGTGACATACCAGCCTCACACTTTGTAAGAGACATGAGTAGGTTTATGTCAGTCCTGAGCTTCCCTGTATTTACTTTCATTCTTATTTATATTTTTAAGCATAAATGTATTTTTTAACAGATAGGTAAGGAATTTCCAAATAATTGCAAATAAAAAAAAATAAATTATTTCTTGTATTTCCCTCTGACACATTTAACATCCCAGTGTAACATGTCACAGTGATCACTGACTGCAAAAACATCATTTAGTACTGCACAGATTTGCACACATAATATGAGAGAATCTCCTTCCACTAATAAAGCAACTATCAATATTAATTAGAAAATGCATCTGGCAATACTTGAATTCACATTATAGTCAAGATCCAAAATATGTTTTTAATCATGCAGTCACCACTAATAACTTTTGAGCATAATTGTGTAATATCATTTTAAGACTTGCAGAGATTTGCCACATATTTTCTTTTAGATTATATTTATTTTTGTTCAAAACATATAAGACTATTTGCAGCTAAATTCAATATATATATGTAGAAGAGTTCAGGTCTAAAAAGGTATGTAAAGAACAGAAAGTATGAGTAATCATTAAATAGGTATCATCATCTGCCAGGTCGCATCCTTAATTTTCGCACTTGGATTTCATCCGTGCAGAACTGCAACAGTTTCTAATGGATACCTGCAGAAATTAACATTAAAAAAGTTTTACAATTGAGCCATAAAGGAGCTGACCTTTAATGGTACATTTGCCATTTAAACAGAATGTGAGTGAGATTGCTGAATATTTAGTGATAGCCTTCTACCAATTCTCCTCTAGGGAAATCAGTGGCAGTTTACCTGTCATTAACAGTTACTGTTAGCAGAAATTGCTAATTAAAATCTATAATTTTATGTTTAATAGGTTTTCTGTAACGATACTCCATGGATTTATTGCTGTACCTCATGCCAGGGAGCTCAGGAGGAACCCAGAAGTCATATAAATCAAATGTATTTCTCTAAAGATTGCTAGATGGCAGTCTGATAAAAAACTTCATTTTCTTACAGCGTATAAAGATAGAGGCAGTTCAACAGAAAAATGGAATGGTGACTAAAAGATCCTAGGTTTACATTCTCTTGTTAAAACTGATTTGTTTGTTTTTATATACAAATTAATGTTTGCATTCTTAGTGACTGTAACCTGGGATCCAACTTGGCTGAGGACTACTGTAATTCACCACAACAAAAACAGACTTCTGGTAAAAATTTGACTCAATATTTGTAACATGAAGTTTTGAACTAGAGTAGTTTAACTTTTCTGGGACTTGGTAAACCCTAACTTGTTTTGGATAATGTAGAGTTTCTACATTCTTTCTAGTGTTACAGAACTGTGTGTTTAAATGATTTTGAAATAATATACAGTGCCAGTGTTGCATTCAAGGGGGGATGTTTTTACCCATTATTTCATTTGATCCTGCTGCCATTGACCAGGTAATTTTTACATACAAAGCAGAATCCATGCTAATTAGTTAAACTTGTCAAAAATAGATTCATATTTCAGAGATAACCAGTAGCACAGTTCCTGCTCCTAAGGTCCCATATGAAGGTTAGAAAGATCATGTTATAAGCAATGACTGTGACTGAAAAGTGTTTACATAAAACAGGTCACATTTTTTTATTTAGATCAAAACATTGCATCTTTCTTTTTAATACATATATTAAAGCAGGAACATGGAGATATGTAAAGAAAAGTTGAAATAAGAGGGGGAATCTAAAAGAAAGTATGCAAGAATCAAAGCATACTGTGATACAGCAAGTAGGAGGAGAAGTGATTCTTAATATCAATTATAAATAATGTTTTTTCCTACATAAATCTCAAAAATTGGACAAAAAATGAGGTTCTAGTCCTTAGAGCAACAAGGAAATCTGTAAAGGAACCCAGAAAATCCTACAGGCCTGGATACAAAGATCATCTTGTCCTAAGCAAAGGAAGTCAGTGAAATGAGTTACCTGTAATCAGTGCCATTCACAGCAGTCCATGTATATGTTCTGTTTCCTTTATCAATATACCTCTATAAAGAGACATTAGTAGAAAAATAAATTTTTAAACTCTGGATCTTCAACAAGTATGACCTTTCTTTAAGAAATACAGTGTTAAATTAAAGAAAAATCTGTTGGATTTGTATTCATTTTTTTGCTAAAAGCATGAGTTGAGCTGCAGCTCTTTTTCTTAAATATTTTCCAAACTTATTGCAAAAGAATCAACTATATAATTTTTATTGAACATTAGTGGAATGTAAATTTAAATAAAACCAGACAAACATGACCTATAATTTTCCCTTTAAAATTCATTACCCAGACATATGTAAAACTTTTTCTATGTGATTTCAATTCAGTAAAAAAAAATTATCTCTTTTATGGATCATTTTGCAGTTAAACTACGAGTAGAAAAAAAAAAGACCAAAAAACCCCCAAAACTCAGTTGAAAAAAGGCTTACCTACAAAATCTTTAACATCAAAAAACACCCAGTGCCTGTGCTTTCATGTACTGGCAGTACTGGCTAAATGCCTTTAAATTTGAACGTAATTATAGGCACAGCTAGGTAATCTTGATTGTACAGACACCCTATGCTAAACTTACATGTGTTTCTAATCTTGTTAAAAGGGCCTTGGATTTGGGAAAAAAATAAACACTGGAGTAAATGTTTATTTTTAAATAACTTAATACATTAGAATAAGCTTTACCATTTGTTTTCTTGTGGTATGAAAAATAGTGTCATATCACAGTCCCACAGTTCCCCACAGATTTAATCATGAATCCACCTGGCTGACATTGTTTTACTCAGTTTTTCACTTTGAAAACTATAATTTTATGCCAGCTGCAACATATTATATCATTATTTTACAATCAGAGTTTTGTAAGTATGCCAGCAATGAAGACTATACAGCTGTTGCACTGAAACATTACAAACATTGGTGAAAGGTACCACAGGTATATCTCTGCCCTCTTTCTTTCCCTGTGGTAAAAGGACAGTGAGAAAACGACCATGGTTGTGGAAAAGACTTATAAATCGAAATCTTCTCATTACCTGATGACTGTTTTTCAGTACAGAATGACAGTGTAAATAATTTAATAGCAATTTTGGAAAGAAAATCAAAAAAGGATAAAAGAAAAACAGAAAAAAACCAGTGTCTAATGCCCTGATATATTTCACATTTAAGGTAAAAAGATGGCTGAAGAGATTCCTATCCAAGCCTACTTATATTCAATGATGTGCCCATACTATTACTTCAGCTTAAGACTAAGTAGACATTTGAACCTAGTGCTGGCAGTCCCTCCAAATCGGGCACAGGGTCATGGGTCACACACCAGGTATCTCCACAAAAGAAAAGCAGTGCTCAAGGTGGGAGGGAAGGAAGAGAAGAACTGGGCTGTTTTTAAATCCTTTCGTGAGCGTGCTTGAAAGCTAATTGGTTGAGACCTTCCTTCAAAGGTAACCCATCACACGTCCTCATACATCAGCTCCCATTCACCTTTGCCTACTTCATTATTGAGTGGTCTGAGATTATCTCATCCCCAGCTATCTCTGCCAAAGAACCCACACATGTTATTGCAGCTTTTGTGACCCTTTGGTTTTCACTACTGCCCACCCCGGCTGCCAAATGTGGCAATGCTTTTGTTCCTATGGCATCTTCTCTGTTAGTTGGAAAGCCCCTGAGGCCTTGGGAGACTCCAGCGCACCCCACCCACACTTGCTACAAGCCCAGTCTCTATGCTGTAGTATGAAGTCATCTCCCAAGACACTGCTGGGGCCAGCTGCAATACAAAAGGAAAGCAATGCAAACTTAAACCAAAAAGCAAAACAAAAAGAACATAAATTTGAAGCCTGAAGACTACAACTGTCAGTTCAGAGCAACCGACCACATCAGCCCTTTTTATAAGAAAATATATGAAGCTATCAAGTGCTAAGTGATGCATGGCTCATGCATGGCCTGTGGTTTAAAGCAGTTTTATTCTGGTTCTAGCAGCCTGGAGCTGGGAGGGTGCAATGGCCTGAAGCAGTCATCATTGCCAGCCAGCTCTGGCTGCTCCCTTCTCTCAGAGAGGTCTGGGTAGAGCAAAAAATCTTGGGCCATGATGCAAGGGAAGGTGAGGGTAATTAATTTCATTGGCACTTGAAGCATCTGGGATCAAAAGGCTTGGGATATTCTATTCAAACACAGATTGTGGTCTGGGCCGTGTGTAACTGGCACATTCTCACGCACCCAGGGATGTTACATTCCTCCCTCCTGCCCTGGTGCTGTAACTGACTTCAGCATTTGCAATGCTTCCCTCTCTCCCTCTTTGGACAAAGAATTGCAGGACCTACTGTTTCAGGTCCTTTGTATCACAAAGCCTGAGAAATGTAAGAACAGTCTGAAATCTCTTCAACATGTTTGCCATTAAAGCAATTTCTTGTACAACCCTAACCATGTTATTGTATTTTTGCGACCTTCTAACCCTCCGTCTTCTGACCACCTACACAGAGCCCTTTTCACCCATAGGCTTGGAAAGGAACTCCTTAAACAGAACAACATAAATCTGAAAATGTCCCAGCATGGAGTCTCTCCTTTCTGGAGCAGTTTATCCTCAGGACAGATGCCAGCAGGAATTGGGACTCTCTGACAGTGGGTCAGGAGTGACCAGCTCTCCCTTCAAGGAACAGGCTGGTGGCATCTTAAACAGCATGGGCTCCTGACACAGATGAGGGAGCAGAACTGACATCCAACAGGGCTTATCCTCTCTGCCCTAGAAAGGACGTATTTGTTCACCACCCTCCACCAGTGGAACGACTCAGGAAAAGACACATTTTTTTTTCACATAGCGGGATTGACCCAGAGATTGTAAAGCAGCATTGTAAAGCTTTGTTTTGGCATTTTACTCTAAGAAAGCACACAACAGAGTCCTGATAGAAGGCAAGGGGACTGCTGATACAGGTCTCTGCTTTAGAGGAACATGGGAAGAGGTGAAAGGCACTATGAAGTTGGATACAGAGAATTAGTGTGGGTATGTTTAATGAGATCATGGGACTCCACAGGGTCAGGGACCATAACTTTAAGGCATGCTTTATATCTGGACAACTTAAGTGTGTTAGGCTTGAGTTGGCTTGGTTTTCCTCATAGAGATTAATGTAGTTCTGCTGTCTACATGATCTATAGTAGATCATCATCTATATGATCATCACTATAATCATCTTTCAACTAAGATCACCTTGAACAGTTTTGAAGAACTTGAGATTGGTGACCTGTCCTTATTTGCATTCCTATTAAATTACACAATCAGAAGCAGAGTGCTTTGTCAGATCCAGTGCAGATACTAAGAAGCTGAGGAATGATTATGAGACGTCCATCTTTGGGTCATCAGTAAACAAAAGACATAGACCTGTTGTGGCAGATCCAGATGAAGGGCACAAGTATGGTGAGAGGGTTGGAGCACCTCTCCTATGAAGACAGGCTGAGAGAGTTGGCGTTGTTCAGCCTGGAGAAGAGAAGACTCCAGGGAGACCTTATTGCAGCCTTTCAATACTTCTAAGTATGTCTCCAAAGGCCTGTTGCAGATCCAAGTGACCATGAACCAGACATTCTGAAATCACAGCATGGATGAATTATCGAGACGTCTGAGAAAATTCTCCTCCATTTTCAGTCTCATTTAGCAAAGACAACATGGGCTCTGCTACTAATTTTCACCCACGAAGACAAGTTTCTACCATGTGTAAAGCAAGAATAGACTAGGAATACAAACCGCTTTTTTCTGTCAAAGTGAGAACAAGTATATAAGAATCTTCCTTCCATGTAGGATTGATTCAGAGAAGTGGTAAAAGGGACTGCTCAGTATTGGGAGTAGTTTAAAAGTTAATACCAGTTAAGACATTGAATGGAATATAAGTAAGGAATGTGCTGTTTTTAACAGAATAAACCCCCTCTATTCTCCAAGGCCTGTTTCCTATCGACTTAACCTGATTAGTTTCTTTCTGCATCATATCTCTTGTGAGAAGGAGGAAATTTCTTCTGGAACATTCTGACACTTAAGTACGAACAGCAGAGCTGTTGCAATATCAAAGTTACAGGAGATCAACAGGAAAGGACAGCTAATAGCATACACGGAAAATTAACTGCACAGTTCCAAGAAATTCTGCCAAGTATTGTTAAAGTGTGCTTATATATATGGATGTGCAGTGTCTGCTAAATCATTAAATTAGCTATCTTCAAGATGGTTTATATTCAGAGTAAAAAATTTCAAAAAGCTGTTGTACAACTGTAACTGAGGGGTATACTCTGGCCAGAACTGCTCCTTCAGAACACCAGTAATCATTTCTTCTCATTAAGGTCCCAGAGAAGTAGAGCACAAATGTAAGGATCAATTTTGAATATTTGCTATTGCTAGGGAATGTTTCTATGTATTAAAGAAAACAGTAGCAATGTTTATCAGGAACAAGCATTTTGGACAAGAAAATAAAGAACTCAACAAGCTATTTGGAAAGTACATGATATAACTGTAAGATGAATTTGCTTATCCCAAATAGTCTTCATTTATGGCATAAAAATTTTATTTTTTTTTCTCACTACTTTCTTCCCATTCAACCACAACATAAACTACCAAACCCATCCTCACACATCTCCACAAGCAAATTAAGCACTTTGTTTTGGGATTCATACAGAGAAGTAGGCTGGGTCCATTTCCTGGTGAACAGAGTGTAAGACCTCATCAACAACTGCCTGATTAATGATGCACCAAAGAAACCAAGAAACAAAACAATTCTTTTTTTCATAAGAACATATTTTTTTTTTACTATACGCCAGTCAAAATAGCAAATCTAAAGGGAAAAATGGTACAAACTGTCATTGAAAAATGAACATCACAGCATTTCACCATTTCTCAGTATTTTTCTGGTTTGGTTTGTTCCTGTAAATGTAATTCCTTGTGTTCCTTTCTTACCTCATCTTGGGACTTGACCAGTGTTTCAAAAGTTTTTTCTCCACTTTCTCCATCTATCATTTTTTTCCGAATCTATTTGCATGGGAGAAAAGGGAAAAGGAAAAGAAAGAAGGTATAAGGGTTGCATTTTACATGAATAATCTTTTCAGTGTTCAAAATATTTCATAGAAACACAGAAAACAGTAATACATATGAAAGTCACACCTTTTGTCTAGCATTTCTTGTGCCTCCCAGTACATCTTTGTGATGTAGTAACATTGATTCACAAAAACATTTTTGTACCAATTAGAGAGAAACTTGTCTCTGAAGTAGCCATTTCAAAGAAACTTAAGACAGAATTTGACAGATATTGAGGAATGCTGGTTAATGTCATGAAAGAACAATTTCAAACTAAGTGAAAAAATTCTGATTTCTGAATGTATTACAAAATCAGTAACTGAAAAATATACAGAGGAATTAACTTCTTGTCAACACTTAACTTTTTTTCTCAGTTCTCTTTCTCACCACAGGAATAATCGTGCCTTAATAAGAGATAGGAAAACACTCCTAAAATATTTCAAGTAGTATTTTGATATTCTATTAAAAAGTGTTCCATTTTTAAAAAAATTTCTATCTCTCTCCCCTTCCTAAGAATTGTTACTTTATGAAGAAGAATAATTTAAATAGCAATCATGGCATCATTCAAAATGAGAGGAATATAATTCATTGCCCTTGCCTACAAATAATACTGGAACTTAATTTGTCTAATTAAAATTTCATCTCCATAAAGTCATCTTCTTGTCAAATTTAAAATTCAGATTTATAGTGAAATAGATTTTCATTCAAAATCTAGAACATTTATCGCCTCTCAGTTATTATATGGTGAAATACAAGCAGCAATAAGTACTAAGAAAATAGGTTATTTACCTCAACTTTAATATCATTTTCCAATTCAGCATCTAGAAAATCCAGTGTAACAGGCTCCTGGGATTTAGGATTCTGAAGCAGAAGATATTGAATGATCAAATAATAAAGACAGAGTACTGTAATGTTACAAATCATTCTAATCCTTTCATTCCAAGATAACCTACTTAACTGTGTTTACTTACCCATCTGTTTTAATCTCTTGTAGACTACTAGTGGCCCTTTCTCATTTATTTTATTTTTTTTGGATTAGGGAGGTTAATTGACTAAGTGCAAATCAAATTAACACTAATTGTCGGTGTTTGTCCACAGCCTTTTATGTATGGGTCTGATGCTGGGATGCTGCTTCCCCTTCTTCTGGTATGTTACAGATTGTACAGGGTGGGAGCAGACACATCAGAGGAAGCACAGACATGAAGTCTCACTAGGTGTCCTGCCCCCAAGAAGGGAGAGATAAATTTGGGAGTGTTTTCCAATAAGATAGGTACAGTCAACTGTACTCTTCTGCAATTTTGCCAAGAGCAGATTACAGACTTGCTGATATGACTGGGAGTGGACTATGGTTCAAGACTCAAAAAGGCAGCAATTAAAGCAAATTATTTGCGTTCTATAAAAAACAAACCCCACTTTATTGTCAGCATTACAGGACTTCCCTGAAAACCTTGCAGTTTTGAAAGCATTTCTCTTGACATCAGTACTGTTATCTCAGTTTAGGAGATGGAAACCTGTAGCTCAGAAATACTGAAACACAAGCTTCCAGACTTAAGGAATGTAGATGATGTCAACCTTCAACTATAAAGTGCAGAGGATTTTGGTGGTCTGCATTTGCAGTAACCCTGGCCCCAAAGGAATGTGGGAAGACCACTGTAGCTCTGCTGAACAAGATCAGACCACCCTCCAGCCTCGGCTCCTTTCTCAGTCGCAATCTGCACTTACTCAGCCACTTTCTGTATGAATTGTAAGGAAGCCGACCTTTTTTTTAGCAATTTTGCCAAAGCCTCATTGACTTTATATTGCGTGTGGTGTAAAAATCATCAATCTTCATCACCCAGCTAAATAAGTGAGTGCATAATAAATCCAATTATTTAGCACACCAAGCTAAAAGTGAGTGCATTTCTTTAGAAAAAGGAGTATGTCGATATATTATTTAACCATTTAAATACGACAGTTCAGAGTAGAAAATGAAATTTTTTGGACTGATAATTATTTGCTTTGTGTAATAGCCCAGTTCATATATGAAAGGATCTCAAGACCTAGTTTTCTCAGTAATTGAGCACTGTTTCTCATACAATTAGCAACACAAAATTTCTCATTAGCTGACACTATTATTTCAAGGCTAGTGTAATTTCTGACAATTACATTTTTAAGAGATTTCAGTGATTTACCTATATTAACATTTACAGGGTAGACTAAAGTCTCTTCCTTCAAAATTATGATTATATTCCTTCTATCCTAACATTCTCTGGCAAAGTGACCTGACAAATGTACATGTGACTATTCTATCAAAGAATGCAAGCATGTTTCATTACAATTTATGTATGTATTTCCAGTTCATACTGGAAGAAAACAATACTCTGAAGAACTGGTAAAAAATGCCTTCATATAATAGTCTGGAGCACTAAGAATTTAACAGTAGCACTTATTTTCAAGACTATAATACAGAATAGTGTTAGAAGACATAAGAGTATTCCTTCATTTTCTTGAGGAAAAAATGTACATATTTATGGTATATTCCTGTTCTTAGCAAGTAAGACTTACTGTCTGCTAAGAGAAAAGCCAATAAATTTATTATCAGAAAGAGAATATGCACTGGAAGGATTGCAGACAAAGATTCTGGGTATTTCTTTTAAATATTTACTGAAAACTTGAGGAAAATCTTTACATTTCTTTTTATATATGGTAGATAAAATTAGCAACTCTAATATAATAGCATTAACATATGCTCTCTACTATTTCAAAGCAATTAAATCGTTGTTATGCCATTGCTTTCCACCCACCAACAAATCCACACTCTCAAAATAAACAGCAAAAGGCTAATATGTAAAAATAAATAAAAATTTACATATCTTACATGCAATGGATAATGAATAGCATGGTCAAACCCAAACAGCATGCATGAAGGCATTGGCATGGCAGGGGAGGCATTTATGAAGTTCACATTCCATTCCAACACACAAAGGAACAGAGAAGAAAAGAAATGGTAAAAAAAAAAGAAAAATAAAAAAAAAGCCATCACATCAAATCAAGATCAATAGTCATTTCAAATGATAACCTGGGCTAACCATAGTCAAGGAGTCCCAAAGACAAAACAGTCAATTTTAACAGTCTGTCAAAATTCAAGTATGCATGAACTGTTTGTTCTTATTCTTTTTAAGACTTATGTTACGCCACCACACATTTCTTATATAATTAAGGACTTTTAATAGGCAAGAAACAAAGCATCTATAAATACATTCTGTGATATGCCTGAGGCAAAAAAACCCCACTCGAAATTAGAATATTTTTAAACTCATACTTTAAATTGAAGACTGTTTCCTCCTTACATCTTTTCCCCCCAAGAATGTGTTTTTACCAGTATTTGGGCTCCATAATTTTTATTTCCAAGGTTGCCATTTAGTGGAGTTTATTCCAAGCCTCGAAGAAACAAACATTCAGTTTGCTCTTCTCCTTATCCAGTCATGCATGTAACATGACTGGAATAAGCACACCACCACATTCACCAGCACAACTTAACAAAACAGAAGTAAATCACTAGCAATGAAGCATGCAAACAAAAGGAGTGCAATCCACTTTCAGCATGACAAATAAAGGTAAGGATCTATAATTTCAATGACAACTCAAGAAGGAAACAAAGAAAGAAAGAACTGGTGCAGCAACATAAAACAAGTGGTAATTAAAACAGCATTGTCATTTGTTTTGGGAGGTCAGTATTCTCACAAATTCTATGGAAGGGGAAGGCCTTCTTCGCTGTGTTGCAGGAACCTAGTTCCTACTCTTATCTGTGGTACTAATGAAGACAGGCTATTAGGCTTTTAAAAGAAATGATGATAAAAAGTCAGCAAAATCCTGGGCCACAGATTGAGACAAAGGAGCATCTGGAGTGGATAGGAGCCCAGAGCTTTTCCAGTGCTGCAACTCACTGGGCAGCCAGCACAGCCAGGCAAACCCAGCACCTGCCAAACCACACCACAGCACGCTGAGGGGCCAGGCATCCTCAGAAAACTGAGATTTTTTTATGTTCTAGTGCTGCTTTCTCCAGTGCACAAACAAAAAATCCAGCACAGAGGTGGCCTTCTACATGTGGTATAAAGGTAACCACCTGAAATTTGGTGAAATCACTTAGTTGAGTTAAATCAGTACTTTACACATTTTAGTGGTGTTGCTATGCAGGCCAGAAGTCTTGCATTATAGGTTCCCATATGTGTAAGGAATTAACATAACATACTGTATTTAAGTTTACTATTTTGCTAGTTACATAGATAATTTATTTCTTTAATGATTTTTATGTTTTCACAAAGTGATTTCTGCTCAGGGGCTGCGACACATAAACAGGACTAGTTTCCCTGTTCAGGTTAACAGCAACTAATTATCTGGAGATGGGTCTCCTAAAATGAGAAACCCAATGTAAATAGCAGATAGAACATATACCCTACCCTGACTTCCCCGGGAAAAAATCTGAACAGCTCATTAAAATACAGTCATTTTATACAGCATATACGGTACTATAAAACTTGCCAATAAAGTCATCAGAATGATCTTCTGATCTTCTCTTGACTTTGGGTTTATGCAAGCAAAGCCAGCACAAGCAGTCTCTTTTTATTTCCAGTCTTCAAATTAATTTCAAAATCCAAAGAAGAATTTTTACAGCATGACTCTAATTAGCACCTATTAGTAAAGCACCATAATTTAATGGAATGCCCTTCACTACAGCATTTTTTCTATTGTTTAAACAAGGAAGGATGCAAGCTTCATGCTTTGGAAGCTGTTTGTCACAATAAACAATTCTCTAGTTAGATTTTTCCTAGTAAGCAGGGCAGAAGCTTTCTAATTGTATATCCAGGTCTACGCATTCTAATGCACTAATCACCTCCATCCAAAGTTACCTGTACATTGGGTCTCCTTTTTCTCATTTTAACTTTGGGTATGCCCACACCAATTTGCTGAAGTAACAAAAAAGCAGTAATTTATATTTTTGCACTATTAGTAAACAGCCTACTTATAGAAGAGAAGGTTTTCCTCAACATCTGTGCTCCCCAGTGTACATTTACTGGAGTCAGAGACTAGCCCTCATTCTGATCAGGAGTTCTGAGCTTTCTGTCAGAATTACATACAGGTTTTGTCTAGGGAAACAAAAACCAGACATGTTAATGTGAATTAATTTAACAGAGAGATGTCCCTCCCACATACTCTGACAGCACAAAATATAGAATGCAGAGTTCACTTCTTGTTTTGTTATATTTGCTCTTCAAACTCAACTCCTCTTTAATTTCTTAAATAATCACAAACTAGAAAACAAAATACTGGACCTCACTGAAGGCATATGGAGTTTTAAAACTATCATTAAATGGATTTTGATCAGAACCATAGTAAAAATGAACAAAAGGATGCTAATCTTTAGAACAGACTGGAAAGTTGAATTATTTACTATTTTCAAAATCTAATTAGGATTAAGCTTGTTAACACATGCTTAATGGACTCACTTCAGTGACTGTTTATTTGGTGGCATAACCACCTGTTCTCTCCCAGGACAATGGGAAAAATACATGCACAAACATAGAGATACACAAAAAAAATTTGCAGTGAAACATAAAATTAAACACTTGTAATATAACTACACAAACATAAAAAATGGTATTTTAAGCCGTTTAAAACTATATTAAACTGAAAAATAATTTAAAAAAAGGATTTCTCATGTTATGCTTAGACATAGTTTTCATGTGCAAATAAGAACATGATGCCAAAGTTTTTGATGATTTTATTAAGCTTTTGAACTTGTTTTTGTTAACTTTCATCAGTTGTGTAAACAGCTTCACAAGTTCTAAATTTCTAGGGCCTTCTTTCTTTGAGCTGATACTGCAAAAAAACTTATCAAAATATTGTGTTGAACCAGTTGTGATCAGAAGAAATAGATTTTCAGAAGGAAAGTAGAAGACATTCAGAAGAAGGAAGAGTTGGAAGTCTAAGAAACCCTCACCTCTTCAAAGATAAAGACGTAGTTATGTTTTAGTTTAGATCTATTGAAAAATTGCTGGCAGAAAGGGTTAAGATGTTGTTGGTTAATACGTTAACGACTACCAGGAGGTTCAACTAAAATTAATATGACATGTTAAAGAAACTCCATGAATTCTAAATAATCTGTCTTTGCAGTGTACCTTAGTTTTAAAACGTAGTTCTTGTGTCAGTCTGAATAGCATGCACCACCCCAAACAAACTGGGAGTGAAAAAGTCTAGTCTGTGTAACTGTTAATAACAACAATAACAATAATAATATGCTTAATTATGCATATGCTTAATATTACATTTAGACATTATTCTACAACACAAAAATTACCACTTATAAAATATACTGTTTTAAGCATAATCTAAATCAAATATTTGAGCAGTATGGGAAAGCATCTCTAAACTTCCATATCCTTTTAGGAAGAAAACTATACAAAGCAATCATGACAATTAGCATCCTAACAATCCATCTCAGACTGTCAAAATTAGTTCAGATGAGCTGAGTTTTTAACTATCAAAGATTTTTATTCTCCAATGTTATGATGCTATACTGCAGGATAACAGCATATACGAGATAAATATAATCCATATTCATCAGTTTCTCGCAAGAATATGCCTAAAATGAGAATACTGCATTGCTTCTTCTTATATTACTCCTGTTAATGAAAAGATAGATTAATTTGCATATAAGGAAAATGTAAATAGGCCACTCGTCATCATCTGAATTACTATAATCTCTAATTGAGAAAATGGGCCTAATTGAGAAAATGGGTCACTTTCATTTCTTAACGCATGAAAATCCAATGCAGATATACAGAAACTGAAGTCCTTCTCAATTCTGAAATCTATATAAAAACCTTATTTTCCATTTTTTCCTTTTATTTTTTAAAAGAGACTTTAAAAATAACTCAAAAGGGATATTTCATTAATAGTTACAATCAAGTTATTCTTTCTTCAGAAGCACTTTTTTCTTTCTTCTTGCATTATACACTTGGCAAAAGATTTCAAACATATTAATTAATTCACCAGGAAATTAATTCAAATATTCACAAAGCAGACTTCCCCCAGTTTAAGAATTAAATTAATTACTAAAATATGTAGATGAATTCTTAATTTCTTTTTGTGTCTTTGACAATTGTAGCTATGACAGGATTATAGAAGGAAAGTTGCAAAGGTCAAGGACTTGCTACTAATCTTGGAACATGGCTGGGAAGAAAAAAGTGATGATATACATCTACTTTATAAAAAAAAATATATTATTTCCTTGCCTAAAGGCAGAAAATACTGACTTCCATCAAGAAGTTTCTCTCAAATGTACTGTGTGCTGAAAGATAACATAGGAGTAGGGTACCACTAAAGCTTAAAAGCCTTATTTATCTGTGTATTGCAGCTTGCATTCATCTTGGTCATTCATATAAGGTGAACGGCCTTGGGGAAAGACATATGAGGAGCTACTGAGAGTACTTTGTTCAGCCTGAGGAAAAGGAGACTGAAGGGAGATCTCATTGGGGTCTTCAACATCCTCACACGGGGAAGTGGAGGGACAGGTGTTGATCTCTTCTCTGTGGTGATCAGTGATAGGACCTGAGGGAATGGCCTGAAGTTGTGTCAGGAGAGGTTTAAGGTGGATATTAGAAAGACATTCTTCGCTCAGACAGTGGTTGGGCACTGGAACAGGCTCCCCAGGGCAATGGTCACAGCACCAAGCCTGACAGAGCTCAAGAAGCATTTGGATGATACTCTTGGGCACATGGTGTGACTCTTGTGGATGGTCCTTTGCAAGGCTAAGGGTTGGGCTCTATGATCCTTGTGGGTCCCTTCCAACTCAGCGTATTCTGTGATTCTCTGATAAACAGCTCAAATCATCTTAGTGAGATAAATTTCCATGCTGACAACTGAACTACATGGATATATTCTTTAGTCCCTAATACTTACAGGGATTCATTATTGTTTTTAACTTTTTATCTGTAAAGAATCTGTACATTTCTGTCCATCCAGACTGATTTTTCTATTTATTTATTACTTAAATAAATTTTAACTTTGCCTTTTATATAACACTCCATTTGTGCTCTTTGAATTCAAGGGACAAAATTTACTGAAATTGTGTTTCCAATGGAATTAAAATATGAGAATTTTCAAAAAGCCCTCTAAACAGAAGATTGTTTCATATGGAGAGACTTTTCATTAAAACAAAGATTAAACTTATGATTTCAGAAAAAAACCACATCCATTCGTATTGAAATTTCTCATCAAAATCAGAGTGGCAAGTTATTTAAGAAGATAATGTAATGTAGGAGTCTCCACAAGGTCAGGATTCAGTTAATGGATAAAGAGCCAGACTGAAATATTTGGGTTTGCTTTTCCTGAAATTTGAGGAAAATTGTGTCCTAATCATATTTAGATAAAAATTTCATCTTTAAAGAAGAAAGACCTTTCTCAAGTTAAACTACTAAAAATCTAACATTCTGGGAAGGGGTGCTCAGCTATGTCCATCACAACTCTGCAGCTCAGGTTTCTGCTCTGGTAAACAGAAAATAAGCAAACTACATACAAAAAAACTTCACATGTATAAATGTGCATGCAAAATGTATTTTTTTTTTATTTTATTGATAACTAAATTTAATACAAACCAAAGCTGGCCTTTGTGCTGGTTAAAGTGGATTTGAAGAAAACCATACATGTACCATAGATTTTCCCGACACCCACAAAACTGAGAATTCTTTGCTATTACTCTCTTGGACTTTCAGCAGCTTCTAGTTTCTGATTTTTTCTGACAATGCCCGTTTATTATAGAGAAAAAAATTAGAAGGTGTTTCATACCTTTGGCTGGAGATTTGGATGCAGGAGCACATACCCATTAGGATCAATGGCAAAATAGTAACCATTTGGACAAAGCTGAAAGGCAGAAATTAAGGTTACCATTATAAGGTTTTAAGTAATAAAGAATAAGTAATTAATGGTTTTCAAGAAACTTTCACACTGTGGAAAATACACTGCCTCAGGCATCATGAAGTATCAGATATTAACACAGAAAGAATAATTTCTTAATATTTACTTTTTAGGATCATAAACTTGAAGAACAGTTTAGTCTGATGGGACCTTTGGAGGTCAGCTGGTACAAAACTTCACTGAAAGCAAAGATAACTTCAAAGTAACGTCCAGCTTTGAAGTTGGACTAGGTTTCAAAGAGTCTTTGAATACCTCCAGTGGCAATTCCACAACCCCTCTGGGCAACTTGCTCCCTTTTTTTCCTTAATTCCAGTTGGAATTTCCATTGCCACACCTATCTTGATTGCCTCCTGTTGAGGCAATGTCCAGGTCCATTTTCTCCATAACCTTCATTAGGTAACCCATTAGGTTCCTTCCTCATCCTGAATCCATCTCTCTCAGCTCCTTCTTGTGTACCATGTACTCCAGACCCCTGGTAAACTTAGTGGCTCTGTGCTGAGCCTCAGTGTAGTTCTTATACTTAGAAGACCAAATCTGGACACAGTACTCCTGGTGCAGGTGTTCACTACACAGTTGTTTCCCTTACTGCCAAGGCAAACTGCTAACTTATGTTCTACGTGTCATCCACGACTCCCAGGTCCTTTCCTGCCCTTTGAGGCAGTCTGTCCTAGCCTGTACTGTGGCACGGGATTATTCCATTCCAGATGTAGGACTTTGTATCTGCCTTCAGTCAAATTCGTGACGTTCCTTTGCTTTCTCAGCTGTTGTTTTCCACAGTACTAGTTATTTGGTCAGAAATTTCAGCACTAGATGTCTACATATATAAATCAATCATACTGAGTAGGGTACAGACAGACATGTATATTAAAGAACTTTTCTATAAAGAACTCTCCTATAAAACCACCAAATATTATTATCAGCTGAAATGATTGTGTACTCTACACTAACAACCAAACACTCAACTAAAGGGCAATGCTTTAAGCTACAGGAAAATAATTACTTGGAATATATCCTCCAATGTAAAAGTTGAGTTTTACAGATGCATCCTGAGGAAAGATCACACAGAAACACATATGGCTGGAAAGAAAACCACCAGAAAATGTACAACAATGGAAAAGAATATATGAAAAGAAGCCTGCTGGTATTTTGACTCAAATCCAGTCATTACTGTATGACTTTTGAAAAAGCATGCACAGAAATCAAAAATAAATCATACATAAAGAGAAACCACCAATGCAAGCAGCTTACCGTAAATCGGGGTGTCAGTTTTTTTATGTCCTCCAAAGAGACATCGACCCCCATTACTCCAAGAATCAGTTGATTCTGGTAACATTCCAAAATGTTAGTATATGTTTGACATATTTACAATACAGAATAACTGCAGCAGTCAGTAAACTTTTATTTTTGCCTTCATCTCTTGATTGGTAGATACAGTTTGAGAAGTTGCCTATTTACTTATGTGTCTATTCTAAATATTTTAAATAATGTCAAAGTAATTCAAAATAAAATTTAATAAATTCATAATTTACTATAGAATATGAAAATTGTTTATGAAGAGGAATATGGATAATTTCCTGGATGAATAAACAATATATGTAAGAACAAAACAGGTGAAAGCAAAAGTGATGCAATAATATTGCCAGTTATGTAGATACTAAACTACTAATAGAAACATAGAGCTACTTCTGCATATTTAGGTTGGGCAATTGGTAAGTGAGATCTCAAAACAATTAACTCTTTCGGCTATGGTATAAAGATGAATGAAAAAAAATCACAACAAAAAAAGTGATTATAAGAATCAACAGCATTTGAAATTAGGGACTCAGGCACTACATTTACTTCACTTGTAGTTTATTTTTCTACTACAGAAGAGGAGAGCAGTCATTTATATATTATCACCTGAATCCCTTCTCCATATTAAGTAAATTTGTAAAATTTATTGGAGGAGGAATCCTGCAGTCTGTAAATAAATTCAGGCAGAGATACAAGTTGAGGAGTTTCAAATTCTCTTCTTGTTCCTCTGTACTAGGCCACATCTGTTTTATTTCTCAGAAAGACATCCTTTGATAATCAGTAGTCTCACTTTGAACCAGATTCAGTCAATTCCAGGCATTGTCTTGTGGATAAGATTATGAAACTTTTTTTTTTGGTTGGTTTGTTGCTTTGTTTTCAAAGGGAAACTAAGAGAACTATTCTGACGGTGAATAAAAGAAATGCTAGTGATCAAATTCTCATTTATTCACTTTGAGTCTACATAATACCTGAGAAACTGAATCAAAGAATAGCTTGTCTAAATTTCTGTATATTTTGACCTGAGTGAACATGAGTATCACACCAAATGTACAATATTTTACCATACACTGTAAAGCATATTCTAGGTCTGTTTTTAAAAAAACAGCATTTTGATTTTGTGAAGAGGACATGAATTGATTCCATCTCAGACAGTAATAGGAATGGGCAATTGTATTTATTTAACACTTAAAATTTAATCTAAGTGTACAGTGCTCTTTTCTATTAGCATTACAACCAACTAATTTAAATTCTCTATATCATTGCCTTTTACCCTGAAATGTCATAGCTTCAAGGATTTGTTATAAATTTATCTGAACATTCCTTTCTTTGGCAAGGTCTAAATAATATCATCATCTATGTCCCATCTGTTGAGCACCTAATGCATTCCCACTGTCACCAAGTCACAATGATGGATCAAAAAATGTCATATCCTGAAACTCAGAATGACGAAAAGGGGTGCACTGTATTTGCTTGTCCCCAAAAGGTTATCAGGTAGCTAGATATGACCCTTTTGTTTCTGATGTACAAGACAATTAAACGCAAAATGCTCTACGGAAATACACATTTTTCAAGGCCTTTAACGTTAAATGCAATTAATTTAATTTAAATAACTGCTGCCTTTTATTTTCTTTTTTTTTTTTCTTTCCCTTTAAGGAACAGCTTACAATTTTCCCATTTTGTTCTCTTGTTAGATTGAAGACGGGTAGAGTTCCTGTAATGACAAGGCCCAGTTCCTAGGAAATAGGAGAAAAAAGACTTTTTAGTTAAACAGCAAATACTGAACTATAATATATTAGAACAATCCAAGGATTAGCACAAGGTGGAGAAAAGCGGACTTTGTAGGAGAATAAGAGAAATGGGGATGAATCAATGGAAAAGAGAGAGGACATTATTTAGAAGTAAATTGAAGATACATAATGAAACAGGAGGGGTATGTATGGAAGATAACACCATCTACCCCCCTCTGCAAAAAAAAAGAAAAAAAAGTAGAGTTAAAGAGGAGAATATTTGTGAATAAATTATGCCTAACTGATAAACCTAAAAGTATCTGAAAATTCTGGGATTATCTTGCAGAAAATGATGCAAAAGCAACACAGTAATAGAATCCAAAGGAACAGGGTTATAAAAAAGGTGTGAATTGCTACAAATACATCAAATTGTTAAAGACAGCCTTGAAAGCAAGCCTCAAATGAAAGCATCACTTTAGAATTTGATAACCTGGGTTTAAGGACAATTCTAATGTGGCCTCATGTAATGCACTTTGCATTACTTTAGTCTGAGCCCCAAAACAGTTGCTGGACAGTAAGACCAATAGGATAGGAATAAATCCAGTGAGGACAAGCAAGAGAATTTTAGGTCCCACATGAGGAAATTGTTTTAGGGAATTTAAGATAATGAACCAATGTGATAAGTTAGTCCCACTCCCTCAAAAAGCCAAGAATCAGGAAAAGGTTTCAGAGTGGGTTAGATACACCTGTGCTGTTAAGCTCTCATCTGTGATGAGCAAGTCCACAAATTTCAGCCTTTACTTCAATAGTTTACCTTGTGTTGTCCTACTTTATTTATATATAACTATATATGTGTGTGTGTATGTATGCATAATTATATATACATAAACCCACATATATAACACATGAATGGAGAAAAGATTGAAGGAAAGACTGAATGAGCTCACTGAATATATACAGTAACACAACAAATGCCTGCAGGTACCACTTGTTTTACTTGACTAAACTGATCTCTCTCTATCTCTAGTTAAAAATTTATCTTTGGATTTACAACAGGATGTGTACAGAACATACGAACTTTTGTCATCACATCCTGTATGTTTCCAGTCAGTACCTCAACAATAATCAAAAAAACATGGATAATGAACTTCTGGCCATTGAAATTCCAAATTAAAAGTGTGTCATGCCTAGTTATATTGATAATACGTTGATAAAAATTTTACAGTAATACTGACGCAAAGGAAGAAAAAGATTTTTTACACATGACAGTAGATGACCACATGAACGTGGATAAATACATGATTCCAAATACCATTTTGCAGTATTTTTTTGCACTGTTAGAGTAATTCAGAAGAATGTTATCTAGAGCAACAGATTACACTGCTGCTAATAATACTTTGACTTTTGGAGTTTCCCAAACGTGTTTGTTTTACAAGACCAAAGTGATAAATTCAGCAGTAAGAAAGCATTGCATATATCTTTTTGTTTATTTCCCACCTGTATACTCTCCATTAAAGAAACCATTACCTTGAGCAAGCAAGCAATTACAACCATGATATCTTAAAGATCCAAGTTCAGAATCTGTACAAATACCAAGTAATACTGACAGGTTTCGTTCTACCTGGAATACTCTTTTGAAAAAAAAAAAAAAAGCGGAAAAACTAAGAATTCCTCACCAGTAATGTAACAAATTACTTTTACTGCAGCAGGTAGAACACTGGAAAACTATCTCCTTTTTTCTTTTCTTAAGCTGAGGACAACAGGGACCTACACTTAAAAATCTGCGTAGAATAATTTGCTTTTCTCTGTTAAATTTCAGGACACTTAGAAGGATACTAGGTGCAAGTACTGACTAGCATGCTAGAAACAGCTCTGTTCATAGAGGTTACTATATTGAACTGTATGGATGTCAGAAACACAAGAATATTACGTTTGGAACTGTAAGAAATTGGATGCTCTGGAAAAGAGACACGTGGTTACTGATTTGCTAAAATTCTTACTTTACTAGAGATAAATAGAGATCATACCAGAGCATCCAGATAGACATTTGTCCATTGGACTTGTTTGGCTTTCTCTCCAGCTAAAACCATTGGTCTTCCCAAAACATCCAGATATTCCTGCCAAAAAGTGTAATAAACTTATCAGAAGGCAGTTATTAGATCAAAGAGTCCAAACAATATAAAAATAAACAATAATGAAATAAAAACAATATCAGGGAAAAAAATTCAAAATTCACCACTAATATAAGAGTAACATTTAATTGTTGCTTTAAAACTGTACTACACAAAGTTTCAGTCTTCAGTTTGCAGTATTTACCAACAAGGTAACTTCTGTATTTCAGCCTCAGTCACATGGACCTAACCCACCACAACTCTCTTTCCATGAAGTGAGAATCACAACTATTTTTATTCCAAAATTAATTGCTAATGACATAATGAAATTACAAGCAGATTGCAGAACCTTCAACCCAGAAGAGAGAGTGGGCGATGGAGGGTGAGTGGTGTAACTGTTGGGTATGTTAAGCTCCTACAGCAACAACTTGCATAACTTCTTTTGAAATAAAAAAAAAAAAAAATCACAGTTATAAAACCTCATAGTTCCTGCCTTCCTTCAGTTTGTAAGTGCAGCTAACTTGGGTGATCTTATGAGATGTCAGATTTCTGGACTGCTTTGGCAGTGGATGCCATCAAACTTGTTTCACTTTTCAACCTTTTCTACTTGACTGAACATATTAGGGATACTTCTTGCCAGACACTATTTGGAAGAGTTTAACAGAATCAAAGAACACTTATTCAAGCCAAAAAAAGGACTCTTATTTTCTGCCAAAAAATATCATGCCTGGCCTTGGAAGGACAAAGAACTGCCATGATATTTCTCTGCTGTTCTGGACATGTGAGTACATGGACTTTCAGACAACTGAAAAGAATACTTGCTCTTCTACACTGTTAGTTTGGATCCCATCAGGTCATGCCAGAGTCCTGTGCCCTTAGTTAATTACATGTATGTCTGTTAAAACATTCCTGCATTCTTTTTGAAGGGAAAAATGATGTCTGGTTGGATCCATCCAGGAACCTCCTATAAGCAGGATTGTAGCGTGTCTGCCCAGATGAGTTCAGAAACTCTAGCAGGGCTATACCCTCACAATCATCCACAGCCTTCTCCACGTGATACAAACCCTTTGGACCATGCTGTAAGTATGGCAGGATGTGGACTATGAATATCTAGTCACATTATAAAAAATTACTGGTTTTGTAGAACTTTATAATAAAATTGCTGTCATGTCTCAGCGTCAAAGTTTGAGGGACTATGTAAGGCACAGAGAAAAACTGAGACACAGACATAGTCCTTTTGCAGAGGTCTGTAGGACACAGAACACTTCAGATGCTCTGTTGTGTGCACATGGTCAGCCTCTTTAGAGGATGTTAACATGACAAGTATGCATGCAGGCTGCTGTGGACCAGCTGGCCAGGGAAACAGGGACCACATTTTAAATGGGCTCACTGCAATCACTTAAAAGAAAAAATTAGAATACTTTAACAGAATAATCCCTCATATGTCGAAGAAAGCCTTATTTTTTTCTCTGTTTTTAATGTAGTGCAACTTAAAATTTAATTGATTCAAGTACCTGGGAAAAGAAAACATATTTAAGAACAGGAATTACTCCACTTCTGTGTATTAAAACTGACCTGGATTTGGCCAAAACACTTACCTGGGTGTTTATTCTTATGGCTCCAATAGACGGAATTTCATAATAATAACCTAAAGTTTGGAACAGAAATAATGTCAGCTTACCATAATATTTTGCTAGTCTCTTAATCTTGAGAAATTTCATTTAGCTTGTAATTTCTAGTTTAATTTTTATTAGAATTACCATGTATGAATACTTTTCTGGTAGATGCCACCACAGTGCATGGCCACATGTGATGGGTCACCATGCTATTCAAGACCAAACTAGTTACTCTTAGGCAATGAGAGTATATGATGTGCTTCTTTTGTCTGTTTTGGTTAAGGTTAGACAAAGTACTGAGTTTGTACTCATGAAATCCTAGTTACTATGATGAGCAAGTATATTTAATGTTTATTTTAATATGCTCTGATAGCAACACAATTATATGCTGAATGCGTATAGGAATGCAAATATAGCTATGGTCTGCCACAAGAGTGAACTTGTAGTATAAAAATATAAGATATTCTGTGGAAAGGATGAAAAAAATCTAATGGGTATTACTTCTAACTAAACATGAGAAATGTCTTTATTCAGCTTTGATTCTATTACTTATTTGTTTGAATTAGAAATATTGCCTATATGAAATAATAAGACTAAAGCCAAGCACTGAGATTTATCTTGAGACCAGGAAAATTTTAAGTCAAATTGGAAAGAAGGAGTAGAGGATTGGAGAGGTAAGAGTACTGAGCTTAGTCACTTCCTTTGCCCTACGCACAAACCTTTAATTAAGGAAAAATGAAATAAAACTGCTTCTTTGGATGTTGGAACAAATAATCACATCAGTTTTGGAAGAAGATTATGATCATTTTTCCTCAATGGCATAGGTGGTTATGCTTTAAGCCAGCTGGTTCTCATTTGTTTTAAAACAATGGAGGTCACATGCACACAGTATTTTGAGATACAAGGATGTAAGGAAAAAAAAAATCTGTTCAAAACACAAATGTCAATTTTCTGTAGTTATCTGACAATACAGTCTGCTCTTCATGAAGTTGCAGTATCTTCTGCAAAACTTGCTAGCATGTTGAGGGATTCATAAGGTTGTGACATGTGTAGTATTCATACAGGCTGTGGATTCTTCTATGTATCTTTTTTCTGTATTTATACCTTTCTCTCATTTTCGATTATGTTATTCTTCTGCCTGAACATACCTTTATCTCCTTCCCCACCAATCTTAATTTTCAAGACTCCATGTAATCTATCTCACCTCTAACCTCTTGCTTCTTACTGATTTGTAAAATACTTTAACATTTTCACTCAGGTCTGGAAATATGAGTAAATATTGTTTGATAAATTATATATTTTCTATTTATCTGCATTTATGTCTTATGCCTTGTTCTATAGTTATATTGTAAGGTATTTGAGATATCGCTTTCTCACACTCTTAAAATATTTCTGAGAATATTTTTCATGTGGAAATTTAATGTAGAAATTCCATGTAGAAAGCATTTTACTTCCTTACTTTCACCTTTTTTACTTTTTTTCCCTCTACATAAATCAAGATAAAAATAGAAAATGCAAGATGCTCTTAGAAGCTAAGAAATCACAGTAAGAATAATTTTGATATTTTCATTATAAAAGGGAAAAATATTCTAAGTAATCTGATCCCTTGTAAGTTTTGGAGAAAAACAGAAAGAAATCTAACCAGCCAACTAACCAAACAAAAACCCTTTTGTCCAGACCACTTAATTTAAAACAGCTTTACTTAATTTCTTATCTGTCATCAGTTCCATCTTTTCATAGATGGCTATTATAACGAATATTCTCAAAAGTGAACAATAACATTTTATTAATATAAAAACTACTGTGGTAATTTTTGTACAACATGAAGTTTTAAATAAATTACTCAGAAATAGAGGTTTCTTTTTTATAGATATTTTTTCATATATGCATATACTTATTGGAATTTTTATTAACGAATACAATAAATCTAAAAATCCAGTTGAAAAATCTGCCGCTTTTAGAGAATAATAAAGATATCACCTATCCAAAGATCTAGTGAAGATCCGTTTCAGAGAAGAACACAGTACCTTTATTTTCACAGGCCATCCACTGTATGGGTCCTTTGTCGTAATTATGTTGACCAACAGAAAACGTGAACACACGTACCTGTGCAGGTTAAAAACAATGCATACAACTTAACCATACATAATTTGTTAGCTGTGATTCTCAAGTTAGTGATACTTGGATTTTTCTTACAAATGAACAGAAAAAGAAAACAGTGAACTTTCCAATTTTGTCACCATAATAGATATGAAAGATAAAAGATATAATAAATTATGCCATTTTATGTATTCCTATTATTTTGTTCATGAAGTAGAACTCAAGAAGAATGTTCTTTCATGTATCTTTCATACTTCAAAGTTCTTACATTAGTAATCGTTCATGAAATATTTAAATTCTTAGGTTTTTTTTCTAAGGTGGTAATTATAACTTCTTAGGTTTTGTTAAATTAGTTGACATAATATTAGATGTTTACCAATGAATTTAAAAGAATATATGCATGGCAGCAGAATTCAAAGCAATGCAAACTTGGACTTTTTAGGATATAAAATAATTTCAGGAAAAAAAATATGAAATTTCCAGTTACTACAGAAACCAAATTCTCATTATGTTGAGACTTCAGTCTTTTTCATGTAAAACCACTAAATTACTTCAACAGATTTTCACAGAAGGGTTAAGTTTCTGATATTTTGCTTTAAGCTCTTAATATTCATTTAAGTTATGTGTTTTATTAGCATAATTCTATTCCGTTTAGACAATGCAACTCCAATCTATCTCAGCAAGTGTAAGGAGTCATGGCTTCAGAGAGAATTCACCAAATTCTCTCCGAGTTTTGGACTGAGAACAGGTTTTTCAGTTGAAATTATTTTCCATGCAAATCTTTTAATTTGAATGAGAAAACTTTAAAACCAATCCTGGTATTACTGCATAAATATTAAAAATTCTACAAGACACATAGAAAAATTGCAAATATTATGTTTCAGCTTCTGGTTGAATATTTTGCTCAGAATCTGAGTGTTTCTGTAAAAGCTGGAAAAATGTTTTGCCAACAGTTTTAATAAACTGTTTACTATATTCATGTCCCTCTGTCCAACAACCAGACTGCTTTTCCTTTTCAGGCATCTCTTTCTTTATGGGTCTTTACCTCTTCAATGTACAAATCACAAATCATGACATGAAATCAGAATACAAATTTCTTTCTATGGAACTTGAAGACTATGATTAAAATCAAAACATAGTACAATTAATTTGCATGCAGGCTGCAACTGAGTAATAAGGTAGTGTTTTCTTTAAATAATATTCACAATATAAAATTGCAAAGATTCCCTGTAAACTACTGATCATTGCTAAATTTTTTAATGACAACATATACAAATTTTCATCATACTATCCAGCATGTGCAACTAGTACCTAAACCTTCATTTCTCAAATAAGTAACAAAAGTTGTGTGATATAATCAGAGCTTAAGTATTAACAAAGAGCTGTAGGAATAGCTCTACATCATCCATCAGCAGCTAGAAAATGGTGAATATTAGACTTGACCCCTACATGCAAGGAGGGCAAACAAAGCTTTGTGCTAGATGTCATTTTTAATTAACAATATGTTTTGATTTGCTTTATCCATACGACCATTAAAGCAACTACTCTGCTGCACTGAATACTGTTCAAGTGCTTTTTTTTTAGTTTAAGACTTCTCTGTATAGGGTCATTCCCCAGTAAAAAGTAAAGCCAATCATATTTCTGGTTACACAGACAGATCTGGGAATGACTGTGCCTTAGTGATGGTAAAATTTTGTTCTTGTAGTTCTTATGGATTAGAACAGATGAAAAATATCTTCTATTACCTTGAAAATATCGGTATTGATAGTGCAAACATGAGTTCACCTGGAGTGTTTACATCTGATTTATTGTTTTAATATTATACAACATTTGCCATCCCCCATTTATGCTTGACTTCTCTTACAAACTGTCAGCTATAATTTTTCTAATGAATCTTTCTGCTTCTATTCAATTAGTATATTTTTTTTTCTGATTTGAATATCATGATAGTATTTTCTATTGGCACATCTCAGCTCACAAGGTATCTGCCTACCAAACCCCTGGGTTTTTTTGGACTCACACTGTTTCTAGTTTAGTGTCCACTAAATGCTTGATTCAGAATACATTCTCTTCAAAAACTATGGAAAAACCCACTGAAGGCCACTAGTTAGAGACTTTAGAGACCTGATATTTCTTTTGGTTTAAAAGTTACTAAAGCATGTGGGTTTTCTTTTGTGTGTATAAAACACATGAGTCAATTAGACTGGACTGTCTAGCATTTGATCTCAAATGTAAAAATGAAACACTGAATTGGATTCAAGTTGCGAAATGGTATGTAATTTAGGGGAAAGAAGCAGTGTGTTAAATCTGCAACAAATCTATAAAGAATTTAGAATTTAAATTATTGACAACAAGCAGGCGACAATATATCTGATTTACTGTTCCTTGGATAATTAACAGAGATAAAGAACTGCAATGAAAATTGGAGTTTTTAATTGTAACTTGGTTTGGCAAGAGGGTGGGATATTCAAAAGAGTATTCTTTTTCCTTTTGCCTCATCTGGAATTGAGTAGAATGACAGACCAGCTGGAAAAATGAGTCAGCAAGTCAAACTAAACAAGCCAATTTTAGCAAAAAAACCCCATGCTCTGTGCTAAAATTTTCTGTGACAGGACCCAGAGTCAGCCAAAATACTGAGATGCATCTGTCTATACGTTTTCCTTATAGACATCTCTCCAAAGAAGACAATGGGCTGTTAAATTAAAAAAAAAAAAAAGCGGATTTAGTTTCTTTTAATAGGGAATTTATGACTAAGAATACTTGGAGTAACTAGATCAGACACAATGGGCATAAGCACCTCTCCCTTTGCCTGTCCTTTAAGCTTGGTTTCAACCAACTAAATGGATTTCTGAGTTGAAGCAAACTGCCAAGTAGTCTTTGATCCCAAGAAGTTGTTTTCCATCACCACTGAGGCCTGGTTATTTCTTCTCTTTACCTCTCTGCAGCCTCTTATGTTCTGTGTAAACCACAGTTCCTGGGGTCCTTTTGCCATGGTGCTTCCTCTCCACCATCCACACTAGAGGACTGACATTTGTGTTTCCCAACCCCTTTCCTAGGGAAAGGGCAACCTTGCCTCAAGGGAGGCAAGGTTCATAAAGAATATTCTCTTCATAAAGAGAATATTCTCTTCATAAAGAATATTCTCTTCATAAAGAAACACAACTTTCAAAGCACTAAAAAACAATGGAACAATCAGAAAAACAAATAGAAGCTGTCACACTTTCTGATTTTCAATGAGACTGTTCAAAGTAAAGTACTTCTAGAAAACTTGTACTCTTAGAATTGAGAAGAACTGGAGATGGGCACCCGCTCTGCCAGCCCATTCAAGTACAGTCTTCAAACTGCTCTGAAGTATAAAAATCCTAATTTCTAACATAGGGAGTTCAAGTCCAGAGCTAATTCTCTGCATCTTCCTCACTGAAACTAATCTTGGAGAGAAAATAACAAAATCTTTTATTCTTTGTATTAATTATTTGCAGTATTGTATTGGGTCTGGCTGAGCTGGAGTTCACTTCCCCACAGTAGCCCTCACAGTGCTGTGGTTTGCATTGGCAGCTAGAAGGGTGATAACATACCAGTGTTTTGGCTACTGCTGAGCACAGCACCAACACCGTAACACTTCTTCCTCAATCAAGGGCAAGATCCTGGGAGGGGAAACCAAGTGGGCCAGCTGATCCAAGCTGACCAAAGGGATATTCCAGACCATATGATGTCAGCTCAGATATAAAAGCTAAGGCAAGGAGCACTAAGGCAGGCATTCATTGTCTCCAGTGGCTGCCTGCTGAGGAACCATTACGTGTGCTGTGAAGCCCTGCTTCTCCGAGGCGGCTGACCATCACTGCTGATGGGGAGCAGAGAATAAACCCTGCTATCTTTCACTTTGCTTTGCTTCCACTTTAAATAAACTGCCTTATCCCAACCCACGAGTTGTTTTCCATCTTACTCTCTCCCCTGTCTGGCTGGGAAGGGGAGCGATAGAGCAGCTGGGTAGGCACATGACGTCCATCCAAGGTCAACCCACCACAAGTATATAGTAGAGGAATATGCTTATTAGCAAACTAAACAAGTGTAGAATTAACGTCAGGACATTCAGACAGTGAGTGGCACAGGCTGCCAGTGAGGCTGTAAAGTCTGCCTCCTTTGACATTTTAAAGACCAGACTAGATATGGCCCTGAGCAACTTGGTTTGATCTTCGACCTGACATTAGACTGGAGAGCTCTGGAGGTTACTTGCAATCTGACTTATCCTAGGACATCAAAGGAACAGATGCAAAAATCCAAATCTTAATCAGAGGAAGTGGTAGACAGAAAAGAATCCTAAAAATAATAGAGGAAGAATTACTGTATGGAAGAAAATGTAATTGTCTAATTATAGAATTAATTTGTTATTTGTGTTTCTCCCTAGCAGAAGAAGATTTTAAGCACCGAGGTGAATAAAAAAGATTCTGACTACTGCAAATGTTAAGGACAATGGCACTCAAGAGAGTTGTGAAGAAGATAAAAATGAAGAGATATCCATGAAAAGGCTGCTTTCCCTATAGATTTCAGTTGCTTTTTATCTGTTTTATTTCTTCATTTTGCTATTGGAATAAAATTAAGAAAGATTAAATTAGTTGCTTCCTTTGGGTAGATCATGTTATAAGTATTACAGAAAAATGAACAGCTTGAGTGAAGTTAATTCAAAAGTGTAACTAAGCACAAAGTACTTGCTGTTTAGGCTACTGCATGAGATGCTGGAAAGCAATGCCACAGAAAGGGACCTGGAGGTCCCGGTCGATGCAAGCTGAATATGAGTCAGCAGTGCCCTGGCAGCCAGGAGGGCCAACTGTGTCCTGGGGGGTATCAGGCACAGCCTCATCAGGTGGTCAAGGGAGGGGATTGTCCTACTCCACTCTGCACTGGGACAGCCTCATCTGCACACAAATCTTGAAAATCGTGTGCAATTTGGGGCACCACGATATAAGAAAGATATTAGGCTACTAGAGAGAGTCCAAAGGAGGGCATTG